TACTTCTAACACAGTCCAAGGTGGCGTCCCAACCACGAAACCTTTCTATACCCATTCCTCCCGGCGCATGTCTCTCGTCCCAAAGAACTCAAGAAACTCTACCTCATCCATCTCCCACCAAATAAGGAGCTCAGCGTGCCCAAAAACATGAAACTGCTGGCGGTCCCGCTATTCGAGCTGTACGATAATACCGCACGCTATGGGCCGCAGTTGAGCGCCATTCCACACTACCTGTCACGATATAGATTTGAGTTTGTCGACGAGGAGGGGAATGTAGCGAGTGTTATGCCTGGTGGGGGCCCTTTGCCTGGGCCGGAGGGGACGGTGGGAGTAAAGATCCTGGGCGACGGAGAGGTGAAGATGGAGAAGATGGAAAATGGCCATTGAGCGGCAGGCCTTGCTTGGGAGATAAAGTCTTCGACCAACCGACCGAAGGTCCCGGTGGCGGAGCCATTATCATTCTATTCTCGACATTCGGCACGAGAAACTGCCAGGATAGCCTGCCTTGATTCCATGGCAAGCAAAATATTAATTGCTCTACTCTAGCAGGATCAGTTGGACGACCCGCGCCGTGGTAGCGTCCTGGCTGAGATGAAATGTGACCCATCCCATTTCATAGCGATGCTCGGAGGTGGACTGTTACGAGTCAAAAGGCACGGCTTGGGTCGGCTTCAATCACTCAGGCGCAGCATGTGCGATACGCAAGAAACGAGACATGAGGAGATCTGCCATGGATCATGCCTGGGGTGGATAACTCGGTGACAACCTCGACGAGTTCAGGTCCTGCTCACGTGCCTAGATGCGCGGCTCAAATCTGAGTGGCGGGCCAAATTGCGTCTTTCGCTTCCCGCCACCCACCGAACCCTTCATTTTCCCCCTTCTCCAAATCGCTTGGCGGACGAAATTGAGATATAGCAATCTGTCCGTTTGTCTTTTCCAGAAGTCCCTCCATTTGAGATTCCGCTCCGCTTCCTCAACTCACGAAGAGCCGTGATCGTGATCCGTCATCAATCCCATCTACTTCACGCGTCTACTCCTGCACCATTCGCCATGAATTTCATGAATCCTCAAGTGTATAGATTTCCCCCCCGGTTGCCATGGTTGGGGTTCGTGACTGACTATTTGCAGCACCAACTTGGTGATCATCCTTGGGATGATGCAGGTCTCGAAGCGGATACCCTTTGACGACCCTCAAGTTCTCATGGGGGTACGGATCCTGTACGTCGTGTCGAATCTGGTCATCTTCGGCCTCTACTACTATATCGGCATGAAGATCAAAGCAAAGCGAGGTATGCGCAGGAAAAGGACGTCCCTTGGAAAAGATGTGGGCTGACGACAACCTGTAGATCTCACCACACTGAAATACGTCGAGCCTGCGCCCATGGGCTCTGGCGAAGAACCTAAGCTCGTCACCACCACGATCCAAGAGTATGATCAGAACCAGCTGTCGGCAGCCTACAAGGGCCAGCTGATGGGCATCGGCATGATGGCATTCATGCACTTGTACCTTAAATACACCAACCCACTCCTCATCCAATCCATCATTCCCGTGAAGAGCGCCCTGGAGTCGAACTTGGTCAAGGTCCACGTCTTTGGCAATCCTGCGGTGGGCGACCTGAAGAGACCGTGGAAAGCGTCTGGGGGCATGATGGGCATGGGACAGGGCGAGACAAAGACTGATAAAGCTAGCATTGAAGCTGCCGAGCGCGCTGGGCGGGGCGGAGCGAGGGAGGAGTAGCGGCAACACATGAACGGGCATTAAACCAAGGTGCACGCCACCGGGCGGAGGGAATAGATACGCTTTTGGTTTCTGGTAAAGACATTTGAAGAAAATACTCACTGTTTGCAAGGATGTCTGGTGGCCACCTATTGCGTATGCGCTGTTTTCGGATCTCGTGAATATACGCCTTGTGCTGGACGATGCGTCAGGCTCCGAAAACTTCTGAAGCTGCCCGGTGAATCCTGACCGATGATACTCTGGGAAAAGAGCGCGGCTGGGACGGAGGCACATGCGGATCAACTGGATGATCCGAACCGCGTGCCGCACTGCCAGAACAGCCAAGACAGGCGATTGGATGGAACGAGCCGTGTTGGTTGTTGCTGCTTTTTCTCCATCAGACGAGATATGTGATAATCAGCAGTATGTTGAGTCATGCCTTGCGCATATGCCACGGAAGCTGTCTTGCTAGAGACCCTGTGATCCGGCTGAGCAGGCCTGAGGGAGGGACAGACTGCAGTATAAGAATCGGAGACGGTATAAGATCGGAGCGACGAGAAGCAGCATCGTCGAACAAAGTACAGGTATCGTCTACAACAGCCCTCCAACCCAGAGATCCGCCGTCTACTTATCGTATTTTCGGCCAAAATAGCATCGACAATTTCAGGTAAATTATCTCAGCCATTTTCGTTCGCTCTGGTGGCTTGCCCCCGGATGGCCGCTCAGCTGTCGTCGGCCAAGAAGATTTGGCGGGCAGCGGGCAGCTGTCTTTGGACTGTTTGCCCCTCAACGTCAACACTGCCCCACCATTCTGCGAGTGTCTCCCCTGTCCTGGCCCTGTCCTTGCCCTGTCCTCACTCACTCAATCACTCTCGCAGGGACAAAACAAAAAGCTTTCCTCATCCTCCCGTCACACCACTTTGTTCCTTTCTTCGAGTTATCAGTTTACTCTTGCCGACGACTTCGAATCCGGATATCCGAATATTCATTTAACTTCCATGTGAGTTGCTCTCGGTCTCTCCCTCTAGTGTTTTGCTGCCCACCCGTTTCCCCTTCCATCGAAAGCTTGCCATTGGGATTCCCTCCAGAGGCTGACTTGAGAGAGCTTCTTCCCTTCAGCAGTCTACAAAATTATGGCTACTCTCGTCGGAATCAACGGCTTTGGCCGTATTGGCAGAATCGTAAGTCTCAGACAGCACTGTCACGGTCGGAAATAGCTAACAGCAAGCCAGGTCTTCAGAAATGCGTGAGTGGCTCGCCAACCCCTTCATCGGACTCCGAAAGTTCCTCTTCCTCTAACTGCGGATCTCTAGCATCGAGCACGACGATGTTCACGTTGTCGCTGTCAACGATCCGTTTATTGAGCCCAAGTACGCTGTACGTACCCTGCGCTGTCCTACCGGATCTCCAGCGTCCATGTTAACATCCCGCAGGCATACATGCTCAAGTATGACAGCATTCACGGTATCTTCAAGGGCACAATCGAGGTCCAGGGTGATGCTCTGATCGTCAATGGCAAGAAAGTCACATTCTACATGAAGAGAGATCCCGCCGAGATCCCTTGGTCCGAGACCGGCGCCCAATACATTGTTGAGTCGACTGGGGTCTTCACAACCACAGAGAAGGCTTCTGCCCATTTGAAAGGTGGTGCGAAGAAGGTTGTCATCTCTGCTCCCTCCGCTGATGCTCCCATGTTCGTCATGGGTGTCAATCACGAGTCCTACAAGTCCGACATTCCCGTCATCTCCAACGCTTCCTGCACAACCAACTGCCTTGCACCTCTCGCCAAAGTCATAAACGACAAATTTGGCATGAAGGAAGGCCTGATGACCACCATTCACTCGTACACCGCTACCCAGAAGACCGTCGACGGACCTTCGAGTAAGGACTGGCGAGGTGGCCGTGCCGCGGCTCAAAACATCATCCCCAGCAGCACTGGTGCCGCCAAGGCTGTTGGCAAAGTCATTCCATCCCTCAATGGCAAACTCACTGGCATGTCCATGCGTGTGCCTACCGCCAACGTGTCCGTCGTGGATCTCACTTGTGTCCTCGAGAAGCCCGCCTCCTACGACGAAATCAAGCAAGCCATCAAGGACGCCTGTGCCACAAATCTCAAAGGTAGGCCGAAAAGAGTTCCACCCAGCCATTTTCGTTCAGGACGTCTAACGCAAGGCAGGTATCATGGCATACTCTGAGGATGACCTCGTCTCCAGTGACTTGAACGGTGACCCCCACTCTTCCATTTTCGATGCCAAGGCCGGTATCGCCCTCAATGACCACTTCGTCAAGCTCGTTTCCTGGTATGACAATGAGTGGGGATATTCCCGACGTGTTGTTGATCTTTTGGGTGAGTGCCTTATCCGATCGGGAAAATTCGGAATGTGGTAAAACTGACATTGGAATATAGCGTACATAGCCAAGGTTGATGCAGGAAAAGCCTAGACGACAAAATCCTGATGGCTCCGAGTCTTCTGCAGACGCCGGTAATTTTGTTCCAAACGAGGGTTCGGAAAGGGCCGCATGAGGTAAAAAGAACGCCTGGGGAAAGACGAGACAAAGCGCAACATAGACTCAAGTCTCACCTGGTGACATGATTAGCTTGGAAGCACCGATACCTATCCTTACCATGACCTAGCTCAGATAGGAAAATACGAGCCTCTCTGTATTGACAGCAAGAAGCCAAGCATATTGTGATGGCCCAGGTTCCTCTGCACTGCAACAAGTGGTTTCGCAGCCTTAACACACGTGACCTCAGCCTTCTTTGCGAATCACGTGAACTGACTCTTGGCGTTCCATGGCTGGGCTTCCTCTGAATTGTTCCAAGTGCAATCTATTCATTCCTGCTAGCAAACGTGACGACTTCAACGGGCGGCCTTCTTGATCATACGCGTACCTGCTTGAGATCTCATGACTTTATATCCTTGTCGACAGAAGTTTCACCAAAGCTTGGGAAGCTACGCTCTGAGAACACAGTCGCTCAATCGGGCCTTGGTATGTGTTGCTCGACTTATCCTGCTGGCCAAGATCGGCGTGATATACCCACATTCTGTTACGATATCCTCTCATGCTATCGCCTTATTGCATACGAAAACGTACCTCTTTGACTGACTAGTCTATTCACAGGTGGCTTAGAGAGAACGTTCTTGGTCCAAAAGCAGCTCGACACAATTTCATTTGCTGGGGCGGCTTTGCAAGCATTATGCAGTTTCACTAGCCTGTCTCTTGCTTGCTTTCTAAGCTCAAGGCAGTGTTTGAACTCTTCTAATCAATTATTCTTTCCGATATGGCCCAAATACCGCTGCCAGACCAGGAAAGACTCTATCATTCTTCAGATGGGGCGCGGTTTCCGAATCCTGTCCCGCGCGTGCTAGAGCCAAACTATCTCTCAGGTGACACATCTATGAGAGAAACCCCAGATGTTTCCGCGGATATCGACCACCGGTTGAAGATCGAGAGCCCGTCGGAAGAAGACTACGAAGACAGCTTATTATCCGACACCTCTTCTGAAGCTGTTGAGCCTGTGCTCCAATCCAAACGTGGTCTGCCAATCTCCCAGCTTCCCACGGGCCTGTGTTACGATGAGCGCATGCGATATCACGCTGAAGTATCAGCCACAACCAGAGAAAGTGTGCATCCCGAAGACCCAAGACGGATATACTACATCTACAAAGAGCTCTGTGAAGCTGGGTTGGTTGATGACAAGAAGCACCCACCAATCGTGGAGATGCCCTTGTATCGAATTCATGCTCGCGAAGCCACGGAGGATGAGTGTCTTCTGGTTCACGCGAAGTACGAATATGAGATGGTCAAAAGTACCGCGTGTAAGTCACTTTGGCGAAAACGAGCTTCTGCGTCTGGAAAGCCCGAGCTAATCCGTCGAGAAATTTGTTGCAGCCATGAGCGACGAAGAGCTTATAGACCTTTCGGAGCTACGCGAGATGGATTCCATCTACTTCAACCAGCTATCGTTCTTCTCTGCAAAACTGTCCACAGGGGCAGCGATTGAGACGTGTCGAGCGGTAATGTCACGAAAAGTCAAGAACGCAATTGCCGTCATCCGGCCCCCTGGCCATCATGCCGAGATTGGAAAGGCTATGGGATTCTGTCTCTTCAATAATGTCTCCGTTGCCTCCAGAGTCTGCCAGAAAGACTTTGGGGAGGACTGCAGGAAAATTCTCATTTTGGACTGGTCAGTTGCCTTCCGTCCGCTAGAGTTGCATTTGGAAACTAACGCTAAAGAACTTAAGGGATGTTCATCATGGTTAGCCACGCCGTATTTCATTTTCAGACGGAGATGCTAAGACTGATGTGTGTTAGGGAATGGCTGCCAACAAGTCTTCTACGAGGACCCTAACGTTCTCTACATCTCCTTGCATGTTTATATGAATGGTAAATTCTATCCTGAAGGTCCTCAAGGTGACATGTATCACTGTGGCACTGGTGCTGGTGAGGGAAAGTAAGTTCATAAACCTCTACTCAGTCTGTTTTTGCGAGCACTTATGCCCTCGAAAGAAACGTCAATATCCCCTGGCCTTCGAAAGGCATGGGCGACGGTGACTACATGTACGCATTCCAAAACGTCGTCATGCCCATTGCCAATGAGTTTGACCCGGACTTTGTCATCATCGCCGCGGGCTTCGACGCCGCAGCTGGAGATGAGTTGGGTGGCTGTTTCGTCACACCCCCCTGCTACGCACACATGACGCACATGCTCATGTCTCTTGCCGGAGGGAGGATTGCTGTGTGCTTGGAAGGGGGGTACAACTTCGGCGCTATCTCGAAGTCTGCCCTCGCAGTTACGCGCACCTTGATGGGAGAGCCACCTGATCGCCTACAGGCTACATCGGCCACTCAGAGTGCGGTGGATACTGTGGCCAAGGTTCGAAATGTGCAATCAAAATATTGGAGGAGTATTTATCCTAAGGACCCGGTCAGTGGTATTTTTGGTGGCGAAAGATTGCATGGTAAGACCAAGCCTCGAGAAGCCTTTCACCTCCTTGTTCCATACTTCTTTGCAAACAAGCTGACTCCACCCTCCTCGATATAGACATCCTCCGCCAATACCAGGCTATGCACCTCTATGATTCTTATAAATTTACCCCACTGCATATCTACCGCGACACGGTGTCAAAATCATTCGACCGGCAAGTCCTCGCAACGTGAGCCGCAGTCTCCCACGCAGACTGCAGATCTTCCTGCTGATATTGGAGACAGACCTAACTACGAGAGCAAGAAGGCCTTGATGATCATATTCCATGACTCGTAAGTTTGCACGGCGAGGATCTAAAACAGGATGCTGACAAGACCTTTTGTAGACCTGATCTTCTCAGCTCCAGCAATGGCTTGTCCACACAACAAAAACCCCATGATACATGGCTTGTATGTACCATTCTCCCGTTGATCCTCTTTGCTTCTCGTTCTTTCCCCTCTGCCCTCCCCTCAGACGAATGAACCATTTCAACCTGCTCACATCCACAAAGGTTGACGGCACGCAGTCGTACGTCCAGTGGGCCGTTTCCATGGGCATGGGTGTCATAGATATCAATATGCCCGAGTTCATCACCCTTCCTGACGATGTCGCCATGAAATCCGAATACGGAGAGCCAACAGATATCGAGTATGCTTCCACAACGACCGACCTTGCAAGAAAAGAAGGGGAGAAACTTGCCTTCTACCTCTGGGAAAACTACATTGAACCGTACGACTTCCCCTGGGGAATCGTCCTCATGGGTGCAGGCCACGCGTTTCATGCCATCGCGAAGTTGGTGTCAGAGAACGAACGTGTCTACTCCAACCTAGTTGGGATCGTGTGTTTCATTTCCACGCAGCCGATTCGCCCCATAAGCAATCCCGGTGGGAACCATTGGGTAAGTCAGTGGTATCGTGAAAACTCGCTCGTGTTTGTCAGCGCGAAGCACAGCCTGTGGAAGAAGGAAAAGGAAGGAGGCAGGGTTAGCAAGCGATATGGACGGCTTGTGAGGAGCGAGGAAGAGGTGTTGAATCAGATCATGATGAAGCACAAGAAACAGGTCTGCCAGTGGATCTTTGAGAAGATTAGCCAGCGGAGGGAGGAGATGGGAGGCAGCACTGAGGAGGAGGAGGAAGAAGAAGAAGAAGAAGCAGGGGATGAGGATTCGATGGCAGCCGTGGCGGGCGATGAGCCCCCCGAGAGGGGAGATAGGGACAGTGACGCCGACACCATCGACGATCCCACCTCGATGGAGGCTGAGAGTGGTGATGCTGGTGCCAGAGCAGCGCAGCTCGGTGAACAACCCGTGAACCCAAGCACAAGTGTCGCAGGAAATGGTGAAGAGGCCGCTGTTGGGTTTTCGAACGCAACACCGCCGGCGGAAGCGTCTACAGCAGCAACAGATCACCCAGCGTTTCCGTCTGGCGGCGGCGGCGACGTGTTGATGACGACGGAGCCGTGATACTAGCCACTAGGCCGAGTCAGTCCCTGTCTAAGCATCGGCCCGCGCTTTAATGATCTCGATTCTCAGCATGGCAATGAATGGGAAAACTGTGTGTGTGTGTGTGTCGCTCCGCTTAGGTAGGCTCATGCTAGCGGAGTATGCATCCTGGGTGGGTTGGCACCTACAACTAACGCGACGCCAACTTCTTGCTCCCCATGGGGGTCTATGGGGCCTGGGTGACTGGCTGGGGCTAAGCGACATATGTACGAACGGGATCGGACATGGTGAATTCGGGACGTATGAGTTTGTGTCGTTTGCGTTGTGTGCACGGCGCTCGTGAGCTGGTCCGACATGACCTACCTATGAACGTCGGCAGATGGCTATTCGTTGCTGCGATCGATTCTCAGATTCAATGCATGAACACTCAGAGTATTCGTCTCAGCTTTGGCTGGCTGGCTAGATGTCTGGTTGGCTAGCTAGCATCGTCCGTCGGCCCGCCCATCGCCTTATCCATTTCGATTCATCAAGGTTCAATCTTGTCCCATTCTAATGTATCCGCCCCTGGCCAAAATAAAAACTCAGCATTGCCTGCTTGCTCGTCTCTCCCAGTCCGTCCAATACCAGCTCGCCAGATAGAGGTAGTAGGCAACCATTCCCCCGGAGTTTCAGACTCGCAGTTCAACTTTTGATTTCTTTGCAGCAAGCCAGCCACTGGATCATATTTATTCAAACAATCGGGGTTCAATGTTCCGTCGGCTTCCCCACACGTGAAAAGCTTGCTGTCTGGTTCCCAGCGTTCTGTTCTCTTAGACTTGAAATCCAAGACTTCGGACGAACACTTTCCGTTTCTTGACTGCGGAGCGACGTTCGTTATTGCGTAATGGTGGTGTGCGAGTCCCCTCAGAGGCTGCGCTGGCGAAGGTAATCAACTCTTTGTGCTCTAGATTCGTGGTCTGGGGTTGTTTCTCGTCGGTCTCCCCCACGGGGTCCTTCTGCAAAGGCATAAAAACGCCACAATTTTTCGGCTTGGATGCTGCTTCGGCCGTCGTCCCGCGCTCCGCAATGTGTTCGGCAAGGCTCTCTTCTGGCTTGGCTTTCAAAGATAGTAATGACTCTGGTCGCCGATGTGCACTCCACCAAGGTAGCCGGTGTCAAAATGGGAGCAACCATAGTGCACAGAGCGGATGAAGCGTTGTTCCTAATGCTTTTTGAGGCAAGACCAGGGTCGATAGACATGAACCAGGTGCTATATAGATTGTAAGTAAGTAGAGCTTCAAGAGGACCATTAAACAGTGAAGAGATCAGAAGCAGGTACTAGTGATGTGTCCTGAGCAAAGACGATAGACGGTTCAAATCGAGATGAGAGTTCGACATCGTGGAGAGATCGCTGGCTGTGGAGCTTCTTGTCTTGCCGGAGTAAGCAGCGCCAGACATTGGACTTCTGCTCTGGCGAAGGCGGAAAGGTGTAGCTGAATATAGCCAAGTCGGTAGAGCCGGGGCAGCCATGAAAGCCTGGAACCTTTTTGATCTGGAGCGTATATCGATCTGTTGAGAATGACAATACACGTCGCCATAACGAGCCGAGGACCATGGTACTCCACATAGCACTCACCTCGCAAGCACCCAAGGACCTGAGATAACTGAGAAACTGGTAAACAATAGCTTGAACATCCATACTAAAGTCGAGGCGTCCCATGTGACTTTCGTCGAGACACCTATTGTAGAGATTTCTGCCACACTCTCCACCTATGCACAATTTCTTGCTTTATATATATTGTCGCGCAACTTTCTTGTCAACAATCAACCAAAGCCAACCGGTACCCAGGATTCAAGAGCGTGAATTGACACAGCTAGTTTCCACACTTAATTGGGTGCTTTGGATTGATGATTGTTAACTGTCGGAAAAAACCACTCAAGCGAATACGCCCGAGAAAGGTTTCACTTGCCTTGAACGCACCACAAAAATGTGGATGTTTTCGGGGGAAAAGTTTTGCATGTTCGAACCCGAGTCCTGGAATGTTTTTCTGTTGTGTTTTATGTTGTTGTTTTTTTTTTTTAAAAAAAAAACAAAAACAAAAAAAAACTCGAGGTCGAAGTTAAGCAGGAGACAGATCAGCCTTGAGAAGGCCTGCTTGTTCTGTGGTGGGCGCACCAAACAACTCAAAGTCGCTGCGTACTCATAGAGCCTAGATCCACATTTTCAGGATTCTCCTAGCGACATCGTGAAGGTCAAAGGTGATAATCCTATGCTGGACCATCACGCTTTGGATTTACAATGCTATGTTAAGGCTAGGGAGCAGGGCTGGCAATGGAACGGTATGGGAACATTAGTCATAAGTTCAACCAAGTGTCTTCAGAGAAACAGAGATATAATCCAGCATGTCGTCAACGCTGGATGACCCCGAGGACTTGACAACTGGCTCAGATGAAGGATAAGGAGGAAAAGGAGGATCGAGCGGCAAAGGGGGGATGTCGCTGAGATAAAAGCTGCTCGCGGCACCGGAAAATCCCTTATCCGTGACAAGACAATGGCCTGACTTGCCTTTTGCGATGTCGATTTCGCCGTTGGGGCCATGGGCTTGGGAGCGAGACTCGGTGGGATTTTGAAGTTTCTCCTGAGAACATCGTAAATATACCCAACGAGAAAAGAAGAAGATTGATCTTCATCCAATGAAGGATGCGACTGGATACGCCGGAGGGGGCCTTTGTTGAAACACTCCAGACTCGTTCTCTGAGCTTTTGTACGAGGTATTCATGGCAAAGAAACTTTGGTAGTACATCAACGTATCGCAAGGCTGAGCGAAGATGAATAAGGGGCGTCGAATGGGAGCCGGATAAGGATTAATGTTATCCCGAAGACCCGCTGCCACCCGCTTGAGAGCACCCAAAACCGCAGTGGCCTCAGAGAGGAGACTGTTAATTGAAGTTCGTTCGCGAGCACTAAAATTGAGGTGTCGAGGTGTCTGGTCGTGTCACATTGCGTCTTTTTGGCCGAAAGGCATTTCCTTCAGTCCGCTTCCTCTAATAGTATTGGCATCTGGGCCGTGTGCTTCCTGTTCCATCAAGTCTGTCGACCGTTTCGGATCCTCTTGCTCAATTTTCCAGAATGCATCGGTCGATGGTCCGCTGCAGGTCATGCCGATTCTCAATCCTCGAAGCCTTCACTTCTCTCGCTGGGATACCAATCCCAGTGAAAGCCTCTACTCCTGCTCCTTCACGACTTTCCGGACCGTTATGCCAATCAACTAGGAGCTTTATGCGCTTTGCGCCTTTGTGCCAATCCAGCGTACAGGCTTCGCCAGAACCCCCTCCATCAGAACTACCTCCTGCGCCCTCAGCTGCGGTTCCGTGGTATCTCCAGATCGCAGATCCCACTCCGCCCATGCCTGTGTCACCCCTGCTCGCTCTGCAAGAAATCCCGCCCTTGCCACACGATCCACCGCCCATCCTCTCCCCTGTTCTCACGCACCTCTCGAACCAAATTGGCCTCGACAACCTCACGCTTCTAGACCTCCGGCACCTCGACCCGCCGCCCGCATTGGGGTCCAACCTCCTCATGATCATCGGCACTGCGCGGTCCGTCAAGCACTTGAACGTCTCCGCCGACCGTTTTTGCCGCTGGGTGAGGAAGGAGTATAAATTGAGACCCTACGCGGACGGGCTACTCGGGAGGAACGAGTTGAAGTTGAAGCTAAGGAGGAAGGCGAGAAAGATGAAGCTGGCCCAGAGCGTGGGAAATACGGTTGCCGTGAGAGAAGCCGACGATGGAATTACCACGGGGTGGATCTGTGTCAACATGGGCCCGGTGGATGAGGCTGTATTGCCAGAAGTGAAGGAGGATGAAGGCGGGGATCAGACGGGGTCTGGGGTTGCCGAGAGACACCACGCCTCCTCATCTGGTGGCGCCATGACGAGAAACATGCAGGAGACACTTGCAGAAGATGAAGAGGACGAATATCAAAATCCTGCAGAGGAATACGTCGGGTTCGGGTCGCGGACAGACTCGCCCCGCATCGTGGTGCAGATGTTCACGGAGGAGAAGCGGGTTGAGATGGATCTAGAGGGTCTGTGGGATGTGCGGAACACGAGACGGGCACAGAGGGCAGAGAAGGCCAAAGTTGAGGCGGAGGCCGCGGTGGCCAGGCTGCGGCAAGAGCAGGAAGGAACACAGACGGGGCCGGAGCAGGCTCATGAGCAAGATACGGACATGTGTAAGGACGGGCGGGAGAAGAAAGGCTATAGTAAAAGCATTAAAGAGGGAGGAAAGATCCCGGGTCAAGAAAACTTGGAGCTGCATGAAGAAAAGCAGGCTTCAATGAAGTAAAGCCGATGGGTTCAATTGGAACCAGCCACATGGCGCTGACTGCATTGTCTCATTGTCATGAAAGACGTTTCATGGCAGTTAGCTAGCCTATGCCATTCATGTCCCGTCCTCCTTTATCCGTGAATCTGTTGCCCCAGCCAATGTGGGCACAACACCCTGCGATATGCTCCATTTTCAAGCCATCAACGTGCCCGAGAATATGCCACCCAGACGATCCAACCCGGCGCCGGGGCGTCCAGGTTACTCAAAACTCGGTCCTAGCATAAGAACGCTGAACCTCAACTCTCCACCGCCTGCCTCTTCCTCCCTCTTCAGGAAGGCCCTAACCCCCAGCTCCTGACCCTTCTCGCTTAACACATCATCCTCAGGACCCAAGAAGCCTCTCTTCAACGGCCCCTTCCGCGACCCATCCATCTCCCACAGATAGCCGTCTCCATCTTTGATGAACGCCACGAAATGCAGGTCAACGTTCGCTTCTGCTTCGGGAGCTTCAGTATCGCCCTTGGCTGCGGCTGTTGCGTGCGCCGCTTCGAGTGTGGGGCTGTTGTAGAGAAGGTCTGCACGCGCGGCAGGTTTCAGCGGGATGGCTTCCATGAGCAGTTTCTCCAGATCGCTGCCTTCCACAATGTTGGATCTTGCCTCGCCGTTGCTGATGGCATGTAGTAAACCGATCAGGCCACATGCGTTGCCGATCGTTTGCTTGAACCACACCACCGGTTCTTGGTCACCAAAGCCAGTATATTCCTCGCGCAACGAATCCTCTTCAGCCCGGAACTTCTCGTACGTGCTGGTGACAGGGAAGACGAGGAGCAGGGCGATGGCCGGGCGAGGGAGGAAGGCCAATAGAGATGGTTCGGTGAGGGAGTACACGTCGTGGAATTGGAGGGACTGGGACAGGCCGAGTTCGTGGACTAGGTTGGTCATCACCTCTGGATTGTTCTCTTGACATGGAGCAGTTAGTGGGGTTTGGTTACGGAATTGGGTCATAGTAAACTTGAAGGATCATTTACCAAGAGGGACAAACATCTTTTTCTGGGTCGCTTCCGTCATTTTGTCGGGGTTTGTAAAATCTCTCGTCAAGGAAGGGAAGGAAGGAAAGAGCATGAGTGAGGCTTGCAAGGGATATAAAATGGGGGAGACAGGCAAATGGCCAATTGCGTCAATGGCGGGGAGATTCAGGCACCTGGAGTTTTTCATTGGCGGAAGCCCACAGCCTTGCGGAAGACAGCCTCGTTTCTTCCGCCGCAAGGCTGGGAGCTCCCTGTTCCGTCAGTTTCGCTCGCTCACAATCTGAAGAGTCGAGACACGAAGGTGTTCTAGACCTCTACTTCGGATCTCCTATAGCCATCCCATTGGCTTTCGTGTTGGAACTTCAATACCTCATCGCCCCACGACCACCAGCCGGCTGTCAGATTTCTGGCAAATAGTTCCAGAGCGCTGTACTTTGAAGGAAGATATTCTTCTAGCAACATCTTCAGACAGGGCTTTCGTGAATGCACGTCCGGAACGGCAGCGATGACCTTTCGTTCAGGGTCTTCAGGGGATCGATCTTTCCGAAATAACAGCAGGACCTCATACGGCCTCCGCCAGATTCCATCAATTTGGCTGACGGGAACCCCTTGAGCGGTCGACTTAATCCACACCCATTCTCCCCGTAAACGCAGGTCTAGTGCTTGTAGAGTCTGCAATACTCTCGCGCGGATAGAAGACTTATTAGTAATCCAGATGGCAAGTAGTCCTTGCGGGGCAAGAAAATCCTCCACAACGCGTAATGCCTGCGGAAATGGATCCTGATCCCGAGCATCCGATGTCCTATAAGCATGAGAGTTGCGAACTGACCGGTTGGACCAGGGGGGGTCCATCAGAATGAGATCAAAGGCCCTATTTCCCGGCGAAATTGCTCGACGGGCCATAAGAAAAGCGGGAAGTCCTTGTTCGATACTCGCCCAAAGGAATGCTGAACTTGAGGGAACAATAAAGTCACCGACGTCGCCAACTTCAGCTATAGCAGTTTCCGACCGAAAGTTGCAGACAATGTTACCTTGCAGGTTGTCAAGAGAGCCAAACTTGTTGCGTGTTTGTGTGGTCGATAAAACCACAGGTACAGCACCGTCTCTTTCGGAAGGACCGGCGTTCACAGACCAGTTTGAATTGCTTGTTTGGGTTGCTAAGCGAGCCGTCGAGTCAGTGTAAGAGGTCAAGGCGCTGCGCAAGTGGCACCAAACCACGCCTTGACCATGCAAGTGTGTCCGGATCTCGATCAGTGCGGCACAAATATCCCTTTGCACGGACTCATGATAGAGCTGCTCGTCGACGGCGGTCCTGTTGAGCATAGCCTCTCGCCTCAAGCCCTTCGGTTCCGTGCTGGGATACGGAGTTTCGAGAGGGGGAGTTGACCTGAGGGTGTAGGGGACTTGTTGGCCATCGCGAATGGATTGAGGAATATCGATCAAGATGACCGTAGCAGTATGGTTGCGGTAGAGGATCCCCGACATGATGGAGCTCCAAAGGAGACATCAACACTTGGTGCTTACCATGCTGAAATACTTTGGAGCACAGTAAGCCAATGACTTCAGAGAATGGGGTCAAGGATAGTGCGAGTTGGACAAGTTCAAAGGCGAGTTGGAGGGGATGGCGACCTTCCTGTCCGAGCACACTAGTCCTTTTTCGGATTATATAAAAAGGGGCTTGAGCGACACTTCATATTTTCCCTCTCTCGCTTCTTCTCCCAAACAAACTCAACACAGGCCACCAATACAGATCCCGCACAGATCACTGAATCGACAATGCACTCGCGATGAGCAAGACTGAGCCCCTGCATGACAAGCTTTTATCCATTGGCTGGCCTGCCACCCCTTGGTCAAGTGGAGCTACCAAATGCAACATACCTGGAGGTGGGTTATCGCTGTTTGCTCGTGCAATGCAGGACCTACGCAGCATTTGTCCCTGAGGTATTTATTTCCTGTTTCTTGGCTCCTTCCCCTTTCTCTTCTTGTCCTCTCAAGACGGGCATTGCAGTCACCCAATTTCACAGTGCTTCCACTAGATCGGTATTCTGCTTGGTCTTGCTATTTCTAGGTATAACATGTATGAGTGATGCTGGGTTTGCGGTGATATTACAACAAATGCTCCCATGATCCGACATTCTCCACAGGAGCGAGCATCAGACATCCTCGAACCAAATATAACAACCCACTCTTCTCACATTTTGGCATGGCGAGACAGTCCTGTCAACACCGGCGACACTGCCACAGTTCCCAGCGGTTCGTTAAGCAATGCCCAAAACCAAGCTATTCTGATTGCTGCGTTGTCATGCGCCTGTATCAGTCTGGTCGTGGTCCTGATCACCTTGCGATGGTTCCTAATCATGCGAAGGAGCTTCCGGCATCGCCTGGTTTTGTACCTCATCATCAGCGACACGTCCAAAGCCATTGGGTATTTTGTCTTTCCAATCGTGGTCTTCGCCAGAGGTCCGGTCAACAACAGCTCGAAGTTCTGCCAGGCTAGTGGATTTCTACTGGCACTTGCGGTCGAGTCGTCCGACGTAGCCATTCTCATCATTGCCCTGCATTCGATCCTCTACATTGTCCGACCCAATAACACTCTGGGAGAAGGGGGATTATATCGATACCGGCATTGGATCTACGTCATGTGGCTCGGTTTGCCACTGTTGGCTGCGTCATTGGCCTTCATTGACAATAAAGACGCGTATGTCACAGCTGGTACTTTTTGTTATCTCCCCAAGCGGCCATTCTGGTATCGATTGGCACTCTCATGGGTCCCCAGATATCTAGTCATAAGTGTCATTTTGATCATGTATATCTGGATTTACATCTACGTCCACATCAAGTTCCGGGGGTTCGACAACCTCGGCGAAACGGATTCATCCTATGAGTCTGAAATGAGACAAAGATCTGATTTCTCGACCAAGTCTGCTCATATTGAGGGAAGATCGACTAACCAGTCATCGACCCGGCCCTCCCAAACCTCGATGCAGAATCGATCCCCTGGAGTAATTCTGACAGCTGAAGAATGCCAACCCCGGGACGAAATGAGCTTTATTACCCAGAGACCGCCCCACGGCACTTTTCGCGACACTCATCAAGAAAGCGAAGGGAGGAATATGCTAGCGCGAGGGAGTGAGTGGTCCGGTGATACCCAAGTACCTCCAGCCAATACTACGGTGCAAGGTGTTCCATCACCGTCTGCTACATCTGAGCGCCAGAGTAGGTCGATGGTGCCGCAACCCCCATCCCCTGCAAAGGGTGAGGCCTGTGGAACGTCCATCGTCTGCCCAGCGACGGCGGCGCCATTTCCCAGTGGAGTCAACGACCCTCTCAAAAGGACCAGATTGGCAATCCGGAAGCAGCTGCGGTATTTGTTCATTTACCCCCTTGTCTACATTATCATGTGGAGCTTTCCATTTGCATCTCATGCGCTGAATTACAGCAACTACTACGTCCAACATCCTATCTTCTGGTTATCTTTGGTGCAGACTATCATGCTGAGTCTGCAGGCAGGAATTGACAGCATGCTCTTTTCCTGGACAGAAAAGCCGTGGAGGAGAATTGAGCCGAGTTCGAAATTCTCCATTCCTTTCCTGCAGCGGCGAAGCAAGGCATTTCTGCAACGTTGGGGCTCAGAGATGCAAGCTACGTCTCTTTCAGAGGGAGGAATGAAGAGACAGCCCTCAGCAAAACAGAATTCGCACTGGTGGGAAGTCGAAGGCCGTCGGCGCAACGACAGCGTCTGGCTTGGGACCAATACGATATCTGACACTTTCTCACCCATCACCACACGAGCGCGGTCAAGGAGCCCAGAAAAGGTTAAAAGAAATCTGCATTCGCGGACAAGAAGTTCTGAGCACGGTACTTCGTTTGTGCCCAGGCTCGGGATGATTTTGCCAGGAACACATGTACCACGCTTGTCACCCGTGCTGCAATGTGTACCGGCCATTTACGAGCAGGAGAACGAATTCAAGGCTGACGCGCCTCGGTAGGATCGGGGTATCAAGGGAAACCTTGTTGGAGGAGATGTATTAGTAGTTGTCATGCAGCATGAGAAACACCCTGCTTTGTTCCTTTTTTTTTTTTGTTCTTTTCTTTTAACCGCCGAGAGGCCCCTCTGTGCGATATTCCCGTGAATAAGCGGCCCTGCTGTCAGAGCAGCTTAGTCGTCTCGGGCAAGTCTGTCCTTGGTGTTTGGTGTGTCTCCATGAGCGACATCGAGGTCCTTATTGATACGGCTCCTGGTTGAACGGCGTTGCTTTAAAGAGAATGCCCCGTATAATAATAAAGAGTGGTAGATGTGTGCCGTATGAGCGATTCCCAGTGGCCGATCGATATGTAATCCCCCCTTGTTCGAGATCCGAGAGGCGAAAACCGCCGAGATTGCAGCGAGTCTTGGAGTCTTGAGTCAATGACCCGGCATCGGAAGCGGAACCTGGACCGGCGAACCTCGAAACCTTCTCCCCCAAAACCCCCCGGCATCCCCGTTACTCCTCCCTCATTATTACTCGGTACATGTGCCCATCGCCCATCGCACCATCCTCGACGTCACAAAATCCAAGGTTCCCCTCAGCCTTCTCGGTGGCATTGTTCTCTCCTGTGTGCGCCCCCCCGAGTCTGCGGTCTGGATGTGTTCTAGTGGCCTGTGAATGCCTTCTACCTCTATTCTAGGCCATGCAGCAATACCACTACCATCCGTCGAACAAGCAGCGATGGACAGCCGAGGCGCCTCGAGACTGCTCGAGGAGTCACCACCGGGTCCTGACCGAAGACTGTTCCCCGACAACGATGCCTCGATAACACTGAATAGACCTGCGTCCCCCACGCAGAAGCCATTGGATAAGCGCAGCCTTGAGTACATCTTACGGTCTGGGTTGGCAGGTGGATTGGCAGGATGTGCGGTACGCAGACGGCGGACAACTACTCCTGCGACAACGGTGCTGACTTGTGTTGTTGTAGGCCAAAACCGTCGTCGGCCCTCTTGACCGGGTGAAAATCCTCTTCCAAGCTTCCAACCCTCAGTTCGCCAAATACACGGGCAGCTGGTTTGGCGTGGTGAAAGCGATGCGGGACATAAACAGCCAAGAAGGGCTCCGCGGGCTGTTTCGGGGACACTCAGCAACTCTTCTCAGAGTCTTCCCATATGCCGGGATCAAGTTCCTCGCTTACGAGCAGATAAGAGCGGTCATCATCCCCAGCAAAGTCCATGAAACGCCCTTTCGCCGTTTCATATCTGGGTCGCTAGCGGGTATTACCTCGGTCTTCTTCACCTACCCTCTCGAAGTCATCCGGGTGCGGCTAGCGTTCGAAACCAAGCGCGACTCACGTTCGTCTTTGACTAGAATTTGTCGACAGATTTACCATGAACAGCCTCCGCAGCCCGAGAACCTCGTCGGCCAGAATCCCGTCGCAGCCGCCACGAGTGCAGCCCAAAGAGCCGTGCCAAGGTCTGGGCTCGTCAACTTCTACAGAGGGTTCTCTCCGACCTTACTGGGCATGTTGCCATACGCTGGAATGTCGTTCTTGACCCATGATACGATAGGCGACATATTCAGACACCCCATCCTGGCGCCATATACAGTGTTGCGATCGACATCCACGGCCGCAATTCCTCCGCCTGAGGAAGGCCGTTCAAATACCAAGGTCTACCGTCGCGCCCAACTGAACGCCCCGGCGGAGCTTACTTCAGGCGCCATAGCCGGCTTAGTTTCCCAAACCTCCTCTTACCCCCTCGAAGTGATTCGACGGAGAATGCAAGTCGGCGGCGCTATTGGCGATGGCCATAGGTTGACTATTGCCGAAACAGCGCGTCGGATATGGCTCGAAAGAGGCTGGAGAGGGTTTTTTGTTGGTCTTACCATTGGGTATATCAAGGTCGTGCCCATGGTCGCCACAAGTTTCTATGTTTACGAACGCAGCAAATGGCTATTGGGAATCGGTTGATTCTCGAGGGAAACCTCGGGGTCTGCTTTTGTGCCAACTTTGAGGAGTTGGTGACCGATTCTGGTCTATGCGTTATTCCTTGTTTCTGGACGTGATATGGTTACAAGCAGAATGCCTGCGCGGTTTCTTTCTGCCGGGACGATGATGGTGCACGAATCCTCCAGTCCCACCCTGGACGGAAGAACGGGCGTGAATGTCTGGACGCGGGCGACTCCACCGTACCAACCGGCATGGCCTTGGTGAGACCTTGAAAGCCAAGCCAATGAAAGCCGTCAATTACCACAGTGGCTCCTGGGGAAAGGCTGTGGTTCTGCCATGAGATGACGGCCTCCGTGGTACCAATGGGCCTACAGCCATACCGTTTTGAACAGCAAAGTTAACACGTTCAAGCGTTCTCTTTACGAGCAAACCTGGTGTCAATCCTATGAAAGAGAAAAAGCTGGCGATCTCAGCGACGAGGAAGCTGAGGCACATGAACTCTGCGATATTTGCATGAGACTCATCTGGACCCGTGGCCTCGAAATTACACCTTGTTAATGTTTTTGTGGTCGAAAAGTTTTTCGCTACACATGGCTCGTTTGATGCCTCTTTAGGGTATTACAAGCACAGTACGCTACATTCGGATGTATAGATCAGCAGCGGCCCAGGTTGGTATGGGTTTCATCAACAGCCGCCTAAACTTCTCAGATATTATATTTGTCTTTGGGGTACATAGGTTCTAAAGCAAGCGAGCGCTTAAAAGGCCTTTGGTGGCCCTTTTTTTCTCCCCCTACTGTCTTGAATATCATCTTTGTCTTTGCAGACAGATTTACGAATAGTCCCATAATAACCAAGTCATCCATTGCCAGAAGCACCGTCATAGTGGTGGTGGTAATCAAAGGCATCTGAGAGGTTCTGCAGCAATTCACGTGATGCACCCGCGGAGGTAGATATAGGAGCGACAAAGTTTGCGGTTCGTCACAAATGGTGTGCGCCGTTACCGAGGCTCCTCGTTAGTTGGCCAAAGACCGAGAATATTCCCGACCGCTGGCCATTGGGGCCTGGGCTTCAGTCATGACGCTGCCATTCCACATCCGAGACTCGATATTTCGGAGCCACCAGAACTATGAATGTCAGGTCAGAAATGCGTTCAATGCTTCTTGGTGCTTGTCTCGATCGAGTTGGTCTTGGCGACTCAACTCCCTCGATCTCTGCTGCAAGGGCTTGTCCTGCAGCGTCTGTGTCCGCACGAGCGCAAGTCCCTGTTGAGCTGGCTCGCGCGGTCATTCTATGTTGCGTTTGCGAACGGCCTCACGTTGCAAGCACGGTGATCCTGGAAGAACACGCTTGTTCGCATGCTGTACTGGTGTTGACGAAGTTTCAGCAGAGGGGTGGCACTCCCTCGTGTTTTCCGTTCCCCTTTTTCTCTTCCTGCTGAAGATGGTGCAGACGTCCTTTGTGGTATTCCACGGCTCGGTGTATACGAAGGCAGACCTGTGCTGGTTCCAAGCGTCCATTGCATGGAGCACTCTTTGACCGAGAATTACACCGTGTGCCAACTTATCCACAGCATGGAATGTTCCGAGCCGGGCCAGAGCCGCTTCAGATATCGGTGTCGTCGACAAATCTCTTGGGTCGACGCGCTCCCCCCCGAATCAAACGAGGCCTGTTCGATGGATACATCACACTACAGTTGAGGTCGCAAATCAAACAGTATCGTAAGATGCGTCGATGATACCTTTCCGATGGAGGACACGCGGTCTTGACAAAGGTTCGGTGATCAGAAGAAGCAGCCCTTCGCCATACCCAGGTGCTGGCTCTTCAGCGCCCCTCGAAGCAGGCCCACACTGCCTTCTCAGACTATTTCGACAACAGGGACTACGAAAGGCCGTTTCCGCGGCTCGCCGGCCTCGGTGAAGAGGTATATTCGGATCGACACGACTTGATGTCCTTGGGGTTCAACCGCAATGACGACCAACTCACCCCTTTCCTCCATGAACATTTTCCCTTCCTCTTCCAACGCCGGTGGGAGCCCGACGCGTCGCATTCGTACCCAAACATACAATCTCTATCAGAATACCGCCTCAATGTTGCGGTCGTGTCCATTAACATCGTGGTTGCTGCCGTCATGCTCTTCGGAGCTATTTACAACTTGTTCTATGTCCACAGCTTGACGAAGCGCCTTGGTATAGTGGCAGGCCACACCGTAGCACTCGCAATATGTGTAGCTCTGCTGCCCAACGCACGCAGGTCAGAGATCTTGAGTGCTTGTGCAGCATATGCAGCCGTGTTGGTCGTCTTTGTGAGAGGGAATTTGAGCAGTCAATCGCCGTCGTGAAGGTGGAAGACGCATGCAATATAGTATTACTAGTATTGGTGCTCATAATACTGATACCTACATTGAACGATCCCTGTCTTTTCTTGCTTTTCTCTTCTTCTAAATCGCTTGGTGCCCTCAAGTTGTTCTATGGTCGGCCAGTGAGATCGGATGCATTCCGTGGAGTCGGCGTGTATGTAGATAGGTGGTCGGGACCGCCGTTTCGTCCCTTTCAAACGTCGCATTGCAGCGCAGTGCAGCTTCCCGGGCGCCTTCAATTCCCCGAATGACAGCTTCTCAAGGAGAGTATGAGCGCATTCCAAGACAACTGCGCCTGCGGAAAAGCTTGGACGACTTTCGCGCTTATTTTCTTGCTCACTCCCTTCCCAACCTCTCCCCGGCATCCGCTGTCATTTCGTACGCGGGTTTATAACATTCCCTGCCCTGTTCATCAATGTACCGCAACTTCGGATTCCTAACCGTGTCATTCACACCCCCGAGACTCGTGTAGCCCGCGTCGTACATTTCACAGTATCTCAATGGCGCCTCGCACCCTGCTGTCCTTGACTCGTGACGGGCGCTCGTGCCACCACCGTCCAAACACAGGCCCACGTCTTTGAGGTAGGGCGAGCGCAAAAAGCACCAGATTTCCGAAAGATGCCAATCAATAACCGGGTGGATGCGCATGAACGGTGGCCAATTGTGATCAGTCGGGTCAAAGTGGGTCAAGTGAGAACCGTGCGGGTCGGTGCGCCGAGTGCCGACAAAGATGGCTTTTATGTGCGGGTTCGAAGAGAGGTAAAGGGCAAAGGCATCGCGGAAGGAGATGATTGGTTTGTCTAGAGACTTGGACACGTGGTTGGTGTTCCGGTTGAGGGAGAGACCGTCTGGTCGTAATGCTTCTAACGGGGGCGAGACCGGAGGGTTGGAATGCGATTTCTGTTTCTTTCCCGGACCAGGGTTTGTGGATATATGGGTTAGGTCGAGGTGGTAGAGGCGCGCAGAATAATCAACAAACTCGGACACGGCGGGAAAAGGATCGGGTGGCTTTGCGTAGATGGACGGAATGGATTTGGGGAACTCTTTCCGCCTGTTTCTGGGCTGCGTGAAATGGGTGTAGATGACAGCGAGATATAAGATGAGGAGAACCAGGCAATCTTTCCCGCCATTATAAGAGAGGGAAAGAGTCTCGAATCTGTACAGTCCAGTCAGTCCCCCGCCAGATCTTTGGGTCTCGGGGAAAGGTCGAGGAACACCAGCGGGATGTTGACTCACTCGTACTCATCCAACGCCTGTTCTATAACCCGCATGGATATTTTCGCCTGCTCTTGAGTTCTCCTCGTCACATTATCTTCAGGCACCGCCGAAAGGAACGAAGACACCTGCGCATGGAGCAGAGCACACACATCCTGCAACGAGTGGGAGGCGGGAATGTTGGCGGGGAAGGGGGACGAAGAGGATACATCAGCTTCTCCATTGACCACGGCGAGGGTTCCATTGGCCATGGGGGCATTGGGCGGCAGCGACGTAGTGCTCATAATGGCGACGACATGGATGAGGGAGGATGATGGAGAGAGAGTAATAGTCCGAAGAAGAAGAGCCAGAGAGCGAGGTGCGGTTGCGGTGCCTTGGGACCCGAGAGAAACGCAGAAAATCGGAGAAAGATGACATCGGGCAGGTCGGGCCCGCAAGTCACCAGTGTGGGGGGAAACACGCCCGAGACGAGGCTTCTAAGTCATACTCGGTACTACTCACCTACTTGGCTATTCTCCCGCTGCCGAGATACGAGTTTATCCAAGGCTGACACGTCTCGTCCCCAACCGAAGCCGGTAGACAGTGCAAGTCACTTTTTCCATTGATCCGTCAGACCATCTTAGCCCCCTTCCACCAGCCCGATTAAGGCTGACAAGGCTGAGCAAAACACATTACTAGGATAATGACAGTAAGTCATATTCTAACGCCTTCCAGAACATCAGCAACTTCATCCACGCTCTTTCCTGCACCTCGACACGTGTCTGTTCCAGTCTCTATTCTGTCTGTAGCCAGAGACGTTTGACAGCTGTAAGCAATTCCCAGTTTATCGAGAGTAGTCCGCCAACATCTAGAAATCTTGCAAACACAGTGCTGCAGTGCAAAGAGGAGTGATGGCGTAAAGGATATAAGAATATGATCGTCGCGTTTTCTCCAGCTTTTCCACCGGACATGATCCCGGACCATAGCGTGTGCTTTCCTTGACAAAAGCTAGGCTAAGGAGGTGATCTCGCGGTGAATGTGAAATAGCGCCATCGACCCAATTCCTGTGCGACTGTTGTGAGCCATCCGATCCCGGGGAGTACGCCCCGAAAAGCCACCGGGGCACAGCTGAAGGCGCCGGCATTCTGTTCGATTCAAATTGCATCGTGATAAAGCGAGAGATGTTGACGAGGCTTTCTCAAGGGACCGTGCAATCCAGTGCAGAATAACGAGCTTGCTGGAAGATGAGCCGTCAGCCTGAGAAGGCAACCAGGTCACACGCTGGCCCTGCTTTTGCCACCCAGAAAGACAAATGGATTGCAATGAGATACACCTGCTGAGATGCATTAGCTCTGGCACAGTCCGTAAATCAGATGACTAACGGGATTTTTGCTGGTGGAAGAGGAGTTGGCATGCGTGGATGCAAGTCCCTTTCATTGCGTCCAAATTCCCCGGGTATTCGTGTCTATCATTTGCCATAGTCGCCATCATTCCTTTCAAGGGCCAACCGGTTCATCATATTGCGTGGAAACAAACATGCCACAATTGAGTAATGGCATCAACCCAGGACCTTCATCTTCTTTTTCTTCTTCTGCTCCTCGCCCTTCTTGACACCCTTCTGGAAGTCGCGCCAACTTCCTATTCGCTGCTCCCGGGTCTCCTCCCATTCCTTTTCATGGTCTCGTTTCCGTTTTCTCTCCTCCAATTGCGCATCCTCTTTCGCCTTCTCACGACCCTCTTCTTGCATTTTCGCCTTCATCTGTCGCCGCCTACGGGCCTCTGCTTCCACTAGTACTTCCACCGTCTTCTTCCGCCATTCCTGCTTGAATTCGTCTGTTTTCAATTCCTCAGAGTCCACCGTGTATTTGTGCTGTCGGATCAGCAGTTGCCTTGCATCTGCAATGCATTCATCAAGATGCTGGCGCTGTTTCTCATCCAGCAATGCGGTCTGTGCCTTCTTGAGCCGGTCAAACGCCTCAGGAGCCAGAGGATTCTTGGTCTTGTCCGGATGGATTAGTAGGGACTTCTTCCGATACACGATCTTGATGTCCGATTCAGGGACTCCAGGCTGGAGGTCTAGCACCGCGTAGCTACAAAAATGGTTAGTGAGTCGAAGCGGATCAGGACGTGCCAAAACTTACGCATCGAGTTTAAAGGCTTTGAGAATGCGGTCGATCTCAGCATCCTGTGAACAGTGTTAGCCAATCGTTCATTATCCAGGTCGAGTGAGCGCACCTTATCATATTCCTTGGCTTCCTTTTCAAGTACATCGAGAGCATCGGCCTCATCATTAGCCATGGTGGGCTGATAGTATGTAGCTTACCAATGACTGTCAAGGTCTTCACCTTCTGGGGGACAATGTCCGTGACAGAAGCGAGTGATGAGAGGAGAGCAGAACACTTAGCACAACAATGCGAGACGGTCGAGCGTAACGGCGACTGGAGAACCTCAGAATTTGGGGCGGGAAAGGTGTAGGGCAGAGGTTGCCCAAGAGGTCAGGGCTCTTCGTATCGGCTCCATCAGGGAGTTGTGCCGACGAGGCGTGCCGATGTTTTCCCGCTTATCGATAACTCCCCTTATCACATGATCACAAAAATAATTTCGAGCCGCAGCCAATCTGGAGAAACAGTCGCGCACCATTCGCACAGCATTGTCACAGGCACAGTTTGTATTGTTGCGATGGGACCGCAGGGGCATCGGAGAGGGCTTAAAGCCCCGAAGAAAGAATTTCAGAGGCCTAGAGTGCTCAAACGCAAAAGAGAAGAGGAAGACCTTAAAGCTCTCGCTCAGAGAGTTGCCAGCTTCGACGCCAAATCTTCGGCTCCGCCAGAGACCTTTGTTGACCTCCCGCTGTGTCAAGCAACGCAAGATGGGCTTGCAGCTTCACACTTCAAAACCTTGACTACCATCCAGAAGAGCACGATCCCGCTAGCATTGCAGGGTGCGGATATCCTGGGCGCCGCAAAGACCGGTTCGGGCAAGACACTGGCATTTCTGGTCCCTGTTCTAGAGAACTTGTACCGCAAAAGATGGACGGACTACGATGGCTTGGGGGCACTCATACTCTCCCCCACTCGAGAACTAGCCATCCAGATCTTCGAGGTTCTGCGGAAAATCGGACGCAACCATACCTTCTCTGCTGGCTTGATCATTGGTGGGAAGAATCTACAAGATGAGAGAGAACGACTCGGACGTATGAACATTCTGGTTGCCACACCGGGAAGAATGCTACAGCATATGGATCAGACGGCGGAGTTTGACATCGGAAATCTGCAGATGCTGGTGTTGGACGAGGCGGACAGAATTATGGACATGGGGTTCAAGCAGACCATTGACGCCCTGCTCGAGCACCTCCCACCGAACAGGCAGACTCTCATGTTCAGCGCCACTCAGACCAAGAAAGTCTCCGATCTTGCAAGATTGAATTTGAAAGAGCCGGAATTCGTCTCCGTTCACGAAGCAGCCGACAGCGCCACGCCATCCTCACTGCAGCAGAACTATGTGGTCACTCCGCTGCCAGAAAAGCTCGATACCTTATGGTCCTTCATTCGCGCAAATGTCAAAAAGAAAATCCTGGTCTTCCTCAGTAGTGGTAAGCAGGTCCGCTTTGTGTACGAAGCCTTTCGGCACCTGCAGCCCGGTGTTCCTTTGCTTCACCTCCATGGTCGACAAAAACAGACAGCACGGGTGGAGATCACCACGAAATACGCAAACAGCAAATACGTCTGCTTGTTCTCGACAGATGTGGCTGCCCGAGGATTGGACTTCCCTGCTGTAGACTGGGTCGTGCAAGTCGACTGTCCAGAAGACGCTGACACATATATTCACCGCGTGGGACGAACAGCACGGTTCGACCACGATGGCCGGGCTGTGTTATTCCTTGACCCAAGCGAAGAAGAAGGCATGTTGAACGCGCTCGAGAAAAAGAAAGTCAGCCTCGAGAAGATCAACGTGCGTCAGAAGAAAATGCAACAGACTATCCGGAATCAATTGCAAAACATGTGTTTCAAAGACCCTGAATTGAAGTACTTGGGACAGAAAGCCTTCGTAAGCTATGTGCGTAGTGTACATATCCAGAAGGACAAGGAGACGTTCAATCTGAAAAGGCTCGATCTGGAGGCTTTTGCGGCGAGCCTGGGCCTTCCTGGCGCACCTCGCGTAAGATTCGTCAAAGGAGAGGACGCGAAAGCGAGGAAGAACGCCCCGAGACAACTCCTGGCGGCGCTAGAGCCGAGCAGCGACGAGAGTGGTGCCGAAGGGGAGCCACGATCCAAACAAAAACAACGGAACAGTGGAGTCAGGACGAAGTATGATCGCATGTTCGAACGGCGTAACCAGGATGTCCTGGCAGAGCACTACACGAAATTGATTGAAGACGACGAGGAGGATAATGATAACGAAGCAGCAGTCAATGCTACCGCGCCCAATGACGACGTGGACGATTTTCTCTCGGTAAAACGGCGCTTCGAAGCCGGCGACTCAGGTCTCGATCAGGACAGTGGTACCGACTCGACCTCGTCAAGAAATGCCCCTTCAATGAAAAAGACGAAACCAAAACCAAACTCTAATTCTTCCCTCGAACCGAAGAGCATCCAGCTCTCCTCCAACCCAGACGCCCCGACCCTAACAATCGACTCGCACCGACGCGAGAAGCTCCTGGCCTCGAAGAAGAAACTCCTCAAATACCGTGGGAGAGGATCTCACCTGACTTTCGACTCTGACAGCGACACGCCCAAGGACAAGAAAGCGTACAAGGACGAGGCCGAGTTCACGGCGGCAGAGGAGGAGAGAAGGGCATTTTTGGAGAGAGAGACCGAGAGGGCGAGAGAGGCTGATGTCGTGGACAAGGAGATTGCGCGCGGCAAGAGGAGGGAGAAGAAGGAGAAAAGAAAGGAGAGGGAAAGACAGCTGCGAGGTAATAACAATAGTGGGGAAGGGAATGTCGGCGACGACGAAGACGAAGACGGAGGAGGATACGGTGTCCAACTCGTCCCATACGAGGATGAATTCGACGACAAAGCCGAAGATGATGCGCCTCTGGGAAAGAAACACCACCACCACCACCATGACAGTGACGCTGATGACGACCACGAACCATCCCCGCCATCCCAACCCAAACCCAAGCGCCAGAAGAAATGGTTCGAAGACGATGACCACGACGACGACACGAAGAACAACAACAAGCCGAAGGGGAAGAAGGAGAAGGTAGCAGCGCAGACACAGGAGGACCTGGAGGCTTTGGCCGCTGGTCTTCTCGCGACTGGCTAGCTAGCACGCAAGCTACATACCTACTTGTAGGTAACTACGTTATCTGCTGGACTGTATGACTTGGTACCTACCTACCTACCTCCTAGGTGTATAACTAGGTACCTACTTGTAGGTAGTGAGCAAGGGAGCAAGTGAGCAAGTCGACCTAGGTTTGTCGCGACGCTTCAAGCACGCAGAGTTCTGTAGGTTACTACCTATACAGTACATACTCCGTTCCATACACACACACCGTCTACTAACACCGATCCGATCTGACGCGGTATGATACAACCCCGAACGAGTCCGTAGAACAGGCTTGAAAATTGTTTGTTCAAAAAATAGCTTGCCCATCCAGGGGTCGTCGCTTTGCATTGCACTGCTATTTCTACAAGAAACCGCCTCGCCTCGCCCTGCTCTGCCCTACGCCGTACGTATAAAATGTAGTTGATCTTGTTCAAATTCCCCATGCCGTGTCCCTGTCCTACTCGGCCCCATTGTATTGTATGTATGGACAAGGGGCCCGAGCCGTCTCGGCTGGCATGTATGATTCCAGCAACCGTTTTCATATCCCAACTGGGAGCCCGTCATAATATTCGGTCCATGGGTGGTACATGCCTTGGCCCTATTCCCAGCGACCCTGTCCATTGCTCCGCAAGGAAGAAATCTCCGCGCCGTATATTCGGGAGTCGTGAAAACGCCCATATTATCGTTGTATCCATCGCCACAAATGCATGCGTGAGATCGGCCCTCAAAACCCAAATCTCGTCTCGGGTTATATTCAGTTAGAGCCCCCATCTCCAAATTGCTGTCCATATGCTTCAGCCGACTTCCTCGTAAGATGTCCGGATTGAGGTTGGTGCCGTGTCGCCAACGCTTCTTGAACGATTATGCATATAGGACAACCCTGCCACAAAGGAAAAGCTCGTAATCATCCTTGTTGCACGGAAAGAAGCTGCAAGGTCATGAGATCCATCGACCGGGTGTCACAACGCAGAAGGCTATATGCCCCGACGCCCACCAATTTCATGTATTTCTATACTGTGCTGTTGACCACTTGTATAATTGGGGTATCGGAAGGTCTCGTATGAGATTCGTTGCGCAAAAGTCCAAATCGACTCGCGTGGCTCGGGCCGTAGCCACACTTTGTCTTCTGGTTCATAGAATTGTCCCCTTTCCGAAGAGGAACTGGAAATTTCTCAGCCGTCGCTCATGCTCTCGCGTCCGTTAGAAAGGTACAATCTGTCTTGTGTCCAGCACAGACCATTTTGTGCCTGATTAAGATGGTTGTACAGAAGTCTGCATTGGGTGAAAACAGAAGATTATTCTCCAGATTTACCTCAAGCTCTCGTTGCTTCGTTCAACAAATGAAAAGATCTTGTCGCATATCTGCGGCCAAAGGTGTGGTGCCTGCTGGTATGACTCTCCTCGTCCCCTGCAGAAGACGACCACCTCAGTCGTTTCGGGGACCTAAGATGCCCTGTATGTCCATCTTCGGTCGTTTCGGATCTGGTTCTTGTGTGCCATCATTTCTGCTTCCTGGCTCTCCCCGGGCAGATGGTTGAGTTTGTTGAGGAAGCTGCTGCACAATCGCCGGGTCGATCGGGGCCGAAGGAGCTGGCAGGATGGGAGGGAGCTGAAGACTGGATGACATCTGGAGGGGTGGCAGCTGATCAGCTGGCAAGGGCGATGGACGAGGAGGAAAGATGGGGTTGGAAGTGTAATATCCAGAAGTTCCCACCTGTCCTTGCTGGGATGGGTAGTTGTAGCCACCGGCATAGGTCATCGATGGGAAGGCGGATTCTGGATGCGAAGGGTTGTAAGGTGACGGTGCTTGCCCTGGCATGGGCGCAATACCAGCGGGATATTGACGAGACGATGAAGGCACAAATGTCCCCTCCGCCGTTGCCAGGCTGGGCGATATTGACGGCGGCGCATGTAGGGTGAAGATCGATGATGCTGCCCGTCCCGGTCGAAAATTAGTTGTACCGAGCGGCCTGATGGGGTGATATGCTGCTGCTGGGGGAAATATTGACTGGTCTGCGAATCTTCTCGGTTCTCCTAGGCGACCGGGCACCGGGCTCAATGCTGCTTCAAAGCCTGGCCGTCTTGCAGAAGCGTCGTCTGGCTTTAGCGGAGGACGGCCCCTCTTCTTGTGCTCGACATCTACGCACGAGTCCTAGCGAAAGGATCATCAGCTTCCTCAGTTCAGCCCATGGGTCGATTCACAATTGGCGCACCTCTTTGCCGCTTTGCACACACCTCCGACACGGGCGACTGCTATCACATCTCAGATGCTTCTTTTTGCAATTTACACAAGCCGAAGCGACATGCGCCTTGGGTTTTCGAGTCGCGCGTGGCGAAACAGGGCTCAGTGCCAAACGAGGCGATGGAGCGCTGATGGATGTTGAGGGGAGGCTCGAGGCAGACTGATATGAGGCTGGAGGGAGTGGATAGTTGAGCGCATACGGCCCTGGTTGCACGGCCAGCTCTGTAATGGTCTCCCCGCCTCTTGGTAGCGTACTCGGTCGAGGAGCTGTGGTGTCTAAAGGCGTTATAGGCGAGGCAGCGGCTGCTGTCGTCGTCGTCGGAGGAGTGTGAGACCGAGATCGCTTCCTTCTTCGCCCGGCTGTCTGTGGAGGCTCAGCTGGTGGTTCCGGTGGAGGAGAGCCGGACATGGGAGGGGAGGGGAGAGATGCCCAAACGGGCGCGGCGACTGGCTTCGGCAGAGTGAGACGCTCTATGGTGAATCTCGAGCTGTCAATGCTGGATCGGTGTTTCTTGAAGGACAGGCAGAGAGGGAACTGAGGTGGGCGTGGATGCTGCATCAGGTTCGTTTCCTACGGCCCCTGTTCGAAGATCGCAAAGACGGCCTGTTTCGCGTCCACTTTCAGTGATTTTCGCCAACAGAACGATTTTCCAGTGACTGCAATGCGATGTTCCCCCTCAGATGTCCGTGCTCAGAGATCGATTCGAATTCAAAATGACTGTGGCTCGTCCATGTCCAAATGTACCTCCGACGCTTATTTAGATGTCCGTTGCAAGTGCCTTGCCCCAAGTCAGTGTATTGCGTCAAGATCCAATGGATTGATCGACGGGTTTGGCACAGCATATCCACCAGAGTTGTGCTGCCTACCTGATCAGGTTTGCCCGGTTGTCCTTCTGGCCCCCAATTTGATATTCGACCAATATTGACCAAACAGAATGATAACAAATACAGACGTCCGCCGTCGAGGGCTTGAACGGTTCAACAGAAGTTTGGAGGTTGTCGAGCTTGGGCAAAGCGAAAGGGCGAACAGCGCCAGCTCGGCAGCGAATCACTTGGCTTCAATTCGAAAAAGGAGCGTCTGGACTCAGTCTTCGGTGGTCCGACGAAAAGCTGAAGTAGGAGAATCAAGACTCGGCGAATATGATTCGAAAGTCATGACAGGACCAGAAAACAGAACTCACTGTGAGAGGTGAGGGCCAATGCGGTTGAAGTCTTGTTCATCTGTATGCGAGGGCCGCAGCCTTTGGGTCATGCAGAGACAAAGCGGGAACCTGAGCAGCAGACAAATTTCCTCATGTTCGTGAACCGTGACGGCGATCTGCTGTATTGAGAGGCAGAAGACGGAGCACTGACTCAATAGTCCCGGTTAACAGCTCCACAGTGGTATGGATGCGAAGCCCACTCCCTCATGAGATCCAGGGATCCAGGGATCCAGGAAGCTGAGAAGCTGAAAGGGTATGCATTAGCTTTTGCATCGGAGCGGACACTTGGCCCCGTCTCCCGCTGTCAATTGCGACATCCCATAATCCGCAGGGTGTGTGGACGAGGTTTCGCCGCCCATCGCAAGAAGCCATGGTGCCATGGTGTGCATGTCTAGGTTGGTGCAAGGTCGGTGGCACCAGATAGTGGTGTCTCGGCAAGCCAGCGACACGATGGCACCAGCCACAATCCGCCCCCCAGCCTGGCGGGGAAGATGAGGCCAGCTATACGAAAGGAACACCGATTGCTTCAGAGTGTTAGGCACGCACAGGTAGACGCGAAGGGTGGCCAACGTGACCAAGCACTCAAAAAGCATACTTGTCCAGGTAAGCTTCGCCCAACCGGGGCCCAATGAAGAGATGGTCACAGAACTTCCCCAACGCGGGTGGTACTTTGCAGAAGGCGCGGAAGAAACACGCTGGCATGCCAATCGAGAGCCTTCTTGCCCCCCGAGGCTCAGGGCCCAAGGTTCTCACCATTGGGCGGACAGAGCCTAGATTGGGCAAAGCAATTGGGCAAGGTCGGCCGTTGAAAACGGAGCCTCGAGACCAACGTCGATTGGCGACACCTTCGCAAACATGGAGAAACAGGGGAGAGACAAGACCTGACGGCTTCTGCCCGAAACGACCGAATCAATGACGGGCATTCCCATCATGCATCAAGAGAGGGAAAGACGCTGGCCCCCCGACTCCTAGAGTGGCCAGGTTTTTTGCCTTGTTTCGAGGGAGGAAGTTAGTTCGCCTACCTGGAGCCATGATTTGGCACGGGAGGGGAACTCCAACCAACGTCCAAGGGGTGAATCGCAATGCTCGCATGAGTCGGGGATCTGATGTCCTTCTGCCAATCTCAAGGTATTGACTATCGGGCTGCATTTGGCCAGAAATAGCCACCGCCGTACCACCCGATGACGAGCTACGAACCTCCGCGGTGGGCTCCCAGTCCCACAAATCCTACTGACAAGCTGCCTATTCACTGAGACCATTCTGTTGTTATTGTTGTTTTGGTATCAATCGGGACTTAGCTTTTTAGGCGTCCGCGGCTGGGGGCCGGCGTGGATTCAATAATGATGAGCAAAACCCTGGGTCGCGTCTTTGTTGGTATTCTCATCAGCATCAGCATCATCAGCCACCTCATTGCGAGGACTTAAGCAGGGGGCCCCGACCGATGGAATAGACGCAATCGATAAGGGGATTTTCCTTCCATTTCTTCGGCCAAAACGCACACCTACCTGCCTCCCAGGAACCGAGTACTCGTAGGACCTATTAGTTATGGCTGCCCCTTTTTCTTTTTCTCCCTTGGGGCATGCCGCCACGAAAGCCAGAGTCAAGCTGACACGAGAATGAAAGCCTCGTTGGCGCGCATACTTGCGCCTCTGTGTGGCTAATGTGGCCAGATCTTGGTTTTGTTTCTGCATGCAAGGTCTTCCGGGCGGCAGGGTTTCGAGGGTCTCATCACTGGCGTTTGCCATCGACGTCGGTTTACTCCAAGTTAGTCTTGCGATTGGAGGTCAAACCAACCACTGGTGGCCAGAGTGTCATCCAAGATGCCTCTGCTTTCTTCAGCCAGACCAGGGGTCTTCGGATCAATACCGATGGATCCGGAAATCAGGAAGGAATTTCCTGTTGGTTAAGACACCTTACGCTGGTTTCTCGCTTGGTGGTAATCCTCCGGCTGGGCTGGTCATAGACTCCCTATTTGGGACTCCCTGGAGAAGAAGCCCCCGGGTAATATGGATTTTGTTTGCGCTCGACCATGTGGGATAGATTGCCCTTGAGAAAAGTTCCATAAATAATTTGGCGCCGCAACAGGCGAGTGACCGTCGTCTGCCCCTGTGCTGGAAGACGTTGGCATGTCACTTCAATAATAAGCGAATCCACTCTGTCTACGGAGGACGGACTAGGTACGTATTCGATATTATACTCGTAACTTACTTCGTACTGGTAGGAATGGTGGTACTAAGCCGGAGCGGTGGTCCTCCCTGTTGAATTTCTTCTCATTCTGCCGGAAGTGGTCATCCTTGGACCCTGCCTCCGGCCATGGTGTTGGGGTTGACATTTCATATCCGGTAGCCTATTAGAACCCCTGGCATCACTTAAAGCATGTCAGCCAACCGGCGCATGCACTTGTATGCATGCCTAAGTTGGAGGGACCACCAGAGAAGCTAATCCATGTCCTGACTCCTCTCCAGTTCAACTGTGATCTCAATTTGTGTTCAATAGTTAAAGAGCGGGAGAACAGCCGTCGATCAAGGCACTATTGATTTCTAGTCAGACAAGAGATCGTCGTTAGGCCTCTCAGCTCAGGCTGGGTGCACCAAGTCTCCAAGCATGGGCGCCTCAAAAGCCTAGTTAGGATCGATGACAGACAAGCGAGAAAGAGGCTCGATCCGCCCAGGGTACGTTTCCGGTCGTCAATTATTCTCCGCAAAAATTCCGTAGGTCCTTACCTACACCCTGCGACAAATTTGATGATGGTTCTCCCATCCAGCGCGGCAGGAAGAGGGAGGGAGAGTTTGCACATGCCTCTCAGGCTCTCTTGTCGTTGCTTTTCCCCAAGTGATTTTCTGGAATGCGGCCCAAAGGGGGCCCAGTTCGGGATCCCTACCGTATTAATTTCGACGGCGAGTAGATATGCTTAAGCACCCTGGATTAGTTCTGTGGGAGCAAATCCCAACGGCGAAAATTGGAACTTTGTCTGATGCCCCTGACCCTGTCTCTTCCCACGCGCAATTGGCGACCTACGGCTCCATCAGAGTCAAGACTACCTGTACCTCTTTGGGCCCACGTCGTACTCCGTGTTATCATTTCGAATATCGAGCGAGCTTCCGAATCCAGCGGCCGATGTGGCACTGGCGGTCGCTGCACTAGAAGCCATTTATGTTCCCTAGTCTTACGCCACTCAAATCTCAGTTCGTGATTTCTTGGGGAAACCCACGTGGCAATCACAATCCAGGTCTGGCCGAGGTTAGTGTGCTGGGGGCTGTCGATGCTTCTTCTGAGACATCTCAGCTGTGCACGACCACTCTCGCCTCTTCATCGTGAGGCTGTGAAGGAGATTAATTTCGAGGCGGCCAGCCGGCCGGGACATTTTATGCGAGGAAAGAAATTCTCCGATGCGAGAAGCAATCATTTCAAAGGCGTTCGCCTCTTTTGCGAGGAGTCACAAGTACTCGTACTCTGTGCTAGTGTCCATATTCAGGAATGTCTGCGGAGTCGTCGCATACACCCAAGTAATGGCTCGGCAGGTTGGGCACTCTTGAGGCATGGGATGATCTGCTCAGTGAATTAATAACACAGCAATTGGTGCAACGGGCGTTCCCCCTTAGCCTGCGGCAAATGCGGGTTCTGGATACCGACGCCACAAAGATCAGCTGAAGCATGCATGATGGCGAGGCGCAACCAGGCTGAGAATTACTTGTTAGAGCCGTAATCATCAGACCAGTGCCTGGTGGTAATCGCGCAGAGGGGTGGATGATCCTGGGCCTCAAACTCTGGATATAATGCTGTTTCTGATTACGATGGATGCCCCGATTTTCTTTTCCTTTCAGCGAAGTTGAAGGTCGTGCATAGCATCAGAGGACAAGTAAGTCGCGGTGAAATAGCTGTAGGTACTCGATAGTGAGGCAGGAAACTAGCTCGCTACCTAGTTCGCCAGGGACCTACAGTACAGATACTGCCTGCAGCCGCCAAGAATTCAAATGACGGAATGACGAAATGACGACCAAGACGACAAGACGACAATCATACGTCGCAGCGAATGTTAACTTGAACTTCACACTAACAACCTCCTTCGGATCCCTCTGCCATCATCTTGTTGGACTACGACGTCGCTAAGTCAAGGCATCGGATCATCCATGTCGTGAACTGCTTGTCTCGTTCGCCATCATCCCAGTCTCCTCACCTCAGCTTCAGAAGTTGAATTTGCTCAAAAAAAGTCCTTTGTCGCGTGCCTCTCCCGGTCGCCCCTCGATTGTTGAACTCTAGTAGAATCCCAGTATATCCGCAAAAAGCCTGCAGAACCCCAAATGATGGCTTCTCAAACTGGGGCAGACGATCCCTTGGTCTCGGCTCTGCCTCCCGCCACTGATTACATGACTTATTTGACATTGTTGGAGTATCAACTGACCCCTCGGAACCTTCCTACATTGAGCAGGCTCCTCGGCGACGATGACGGTAAACTCGCCGAGGAAATTGGATGGGACTTGCTAAAGCTCATTCTCCCTATGGTGAAGGACACGCCTGAAGAGGTCAATCGATGCCTAGAAATTGTTGCTCGAAGGGGCAATCCCCGAGAAGTCGTCGTCCGCGTCGCCGAAGAGCTAGAGAAGTTGAGTGATGCAGTCCAGGATTCAGACAATGAAGACGGGTTTTATCATGGAGATGACCAAGATGAGCTCCCGACCTTTCCGGGCGAAGCACCTCGAGTTCATCTTGGACAGATGACCCTCCACGGCATGCCGGAGCAGAAGCCTGCCGAGATCCCTTCTGACAAAGGCACCGGCGAATCGAGCATGGCACGGCAAACAGTATCACTCAAGGCATTAAAACTGCAAGCGCTGTTCAACATGCTGAGCATTCTCCACCCTAGAATCAAAACGCAGTACCCCAGTCGCTTTCTTGCAACCTCCCTCCCGGCCGCCCTGGGCGCGTATCGGCAGGTTCCCATCTCGATCGTGACTACTTCCTCTTTTTTGAGCATGCTGGAAAAGATATCTGGCAGGAAACGTCCTCCCCTGCCTCCCCGCACGAGCACTCAAGGCGAGGGACCGTCCTCAAGCAAACCAGCACCGGATGTGCCTGCGACGGCCGCTTCTTTACCAGATCCGGAGGCCAAGGCCGAAGGAGAAGATACCGGAGTCAATGAGCCTTCAGAAGGTGAAAAGTCCATCGTTTTCAGACTCCTTGACGCCGTTTTACTCGAGGTTTTGGACGAATACATGTCCTCGCTTGCAACCCAAAAGCATCCCTCCATGTCCTGGACAGCTCGATTACGGGAGTACCGCGAGCCAAGGCGAATCGTGCCCGGCAGACCGGCAGAGATAGAGATCTGGCAGAAAACACTAGAACTGAAGGAACGAGACGCTCTTTTAGCTCAGTTTTTCTCCATTAGCCAGCAGATGCAACTCGACGCTAGCCGCGAGATCACAAGACTCGTACATGAGGACGAGGACGAAGATCTCGAGAATCCATACCATGACAAAGATAATGCGCCTTCAGAGTACCCGACCATGCCATCTCAGATCCCGTTCCCCAGAGCCGGGGTGATCTTCCTCCACGCATACCAGTCCTACCTAGATCCGCCCAATGCGGAACCGCTGCTCACCACCTCCGAGCTCACAAAGCTCATCGCTCACTCGTTTCCCCTCAGCGCAACTCCGTCGATTCCCCTGCCACCACTCCAAGACTCGCTGCTCTCTCTTCTTTACAAACAATCCCTCGCAATCTCTGCCGCCCCCACGACACCACAGCCTTCTCCAGCCAAATTCCTCCTCTTGATAAGTACATTAACGCAACTCTTCACCATCACACCCTACCCGTCTCTGCGTGACTCAGCACATTATATCGCAACGAGACTGCTACACGCGTATCCCGATCCCTCCGTTCGTCTACAGATCATTGCGCAAACACTCCGGGGAGATACGCTGAGCACCAACTGGGCGGAGATTGAAGATGAGCTGGGGGATACCGATCCGCCCGCGCCGGGGATTGATGAAGAGACTGGATTGACTAGGAGCACTTCAGCCTTGCAGCCGCATCCGATTCCACTGGCACCACCACAACAATTAGGGCCCTTGAAGGCTGTGGGCGTGGATTGGTTGAAGGATGAATTTTCGGAGTGGATTCGTGCAAGAGCGCAAAGCCAGGCTGCGGTGGTTGGTGCCTTGGATCCTTCAGTAGTTCTCCTGCCACCGGAAGATGCGAGCAGGGAGGAGACGGGCGAGGATAAGAAAGATGCGGCACCCTCTCTGATTGATCTGCTCTTCCCACCGGCCATTGCCACACAGGGTCTCTCCACAACATCCTCCACGACAACATCGACCTCTCCAGGAGAATCATCCTTGGAGAGATTGCCAGAATTTCTCCTCTCAATTCCTTTCTACATTTCAACCCTCAACCTCATTTGCATCGTGCTCCCGCATCTACCTTTCTCTCAACATCCAGCTTCGGCTCTAAAATCCCGCATCGCGGCGCATCTCTCGTGCCTTGACAATTCGTCGAAATTCTTGCTTGAGCTGCTTCACCATGCTCAGTCGTCGTCGATTTCCGCTACGACTGCGTCTGGAGAAGCAGGAATGCAGGGAGGGGAAGGAGGCGGTGACAACAGGTATGAAGGGTTCCTGGAGGAATCGCGTGCTGATATTTTTGCATTGGAGGATGCCCGTGTCAGGGCCATGGAGGCGTGGAAGAATGCGCACAACGAATGATGACGGGGACGAAAGGGCCACTCCCCGTTATTGTCTGTCCAATATGTATGTAACAAATATATCAGCGGCTCGTTCCGGATACTGGCAGGGAGAGTGAGCGACGGGCCACCGGACAGGCCAAGTGAGTGGGCAGGGAGAGAACAAGAAACAAAACGAAGCCAAAAAAAAAAACGACCGAGTCCATCTATCTATCTCTCTGTGGGCTCGAGAAGGAAGCCGGAGTTAGCAATTTGCTTTACACCATTCACGCAATCATGATAGTGGTCAATCGCTCAAATCACTCCATAACTGAGTCAAACGGTCTGCCTTGAAGGGGGGAGGAAATTCATCCGAGATGGACGTTTGTTCAATTCTCTTGTTGATTCTTTTTGGGGGGGGGAGGGTTTACGTTGAATTGTTGGCTCTCTTCCTTCGACAAGGTCTGAGTATCCCTGCAGAATCTTCAGCCCTCATCAGCTAGCTCTCTATCACCCTTGTCTCCTCGAAACTAACTAGGTATGTAATTCTTTGCTCTCCGGACTGGCGTTCTGTAGGTATGAATGTTGGAAGAAAGACGCAAAGCACACCAAAACGACAGTGCGCGGCAAGAGTCGGCAGTCCAAGCAAAACGAAAAAAAAAAAAGCAAAGGGCTAGACAATCCTTCCTCGGAAGAACAAGAACAAGTCCCGCATAGAAAGGGCAGAGTCCAACCCAAGGTGTCTAGTTCGCCCAGTCTATAACTTCCGTTGACGCCCATCATTCGAAGGAAATCATAACAGTGAACCCGTTGTGCTGTTGGTCTCGGCCCCACATCCAGAACAGCTTGAAGGTCGAAGTCGGAGGCAAAACTTGTCCTGGGGCCCAGAGGGACGGACCAAGAGACTCGCGGAATGGTTCCAGAACAGTTCGGGCAGACTCTTGTTCATGTGACCACCCATTTTCCTCCGAGGGCGCAGAAAGTCATGGAAACCCCACACTGTCAACCCCACGACTAAGTCGTCGAACGAAGACCATGTGAACATGTGAACCTTTCCGATTCTTTCCACGTCGCCCTTCCGATCTGCGAACCAAAATGGGGGGAAATCCCCCCGGAGGGCTAAGACCTCTCCCCGGTCACGGTTTGTGGTTTGGTTTTCTTTTCATATGCGGATCATACACCCTCCCCGCGTAATTCATCCCGCCTGTTCCGATGATTCCTCCCCCGATCTTTTGGTATACGGTGTCATTTCGGCACAGGATTGCGAAGCCGAAGCTCGACTTGCCTATCGGACGTCGGCTGCATTGCACCTTCCCGATCAGCTGCACGGCACCCAATCTTTCACCAAGGTGTCTCAAAGTCATCGATTTAGTGTTGGTGTTTACGACCACACATCTTCCTGGTACACTCCGCTGCTGCGCATGCTCTTGACCACTTGTTCGGCCTTCTTCTCGTCCACTCCCCGTTCGGCAGCAATGATCTGACCGAGGACTTCATTAACTTCTCGGGCCATGTGGGCAGCATCACCGCAGACATAGAAGTTGGCCTTCTGCTGCAGGAGTTCATTGACCAGTTTCCCGTTTTCCTTGAGATGGTGTTGCACGTACACCTTCTTGGCGGTCTCGCGAGAGAATGCGTTGAACACGGTCAACTTGTCGCCCAAAATATTCTTGTATTCCTGTCACCAGCCGTTAGCATCATAGCGCATGACCTGAGACTCTCAAAACGTGTGAACTCACCTCCCACTCGTCCTTGTAAAGCCAGTCTTCCGTCGAGCGACGGCAACCGTAGAAGAGTACGGTGTGTCCGACATCTTCACCTCTCTTGGCTTGCTCTGCACGTTCTTGCACGAAACCTCGGAAAGGAGCAACACCAGTACCGGGACCGACCATGATGATGGGTTTGCTGGGATTAGATGGTAATTTGAAGTTGGAGTGACGAACGTGAACCGGAACATGGATACCGTCGTACTTGTTGCGGGGACCTGTGATGGCGTAGGTCAGGCCGTGAGGTGATGGATCAGGGTCTCCGTTTTGCTTTTGCTTCAAAGCCAAAAGATAGTTGGTAGTGACACCTTTGACGACGTGGCCAGCACCGGGGACGCGAATGGATTCCACCACCGCGGTAATGGAAATCTTCTGTGGCTGAACCAGGGAAGAGGAAGAGATGGAATAGTAACGAGGCTGCAACTTGTTCAGGCCCTCAACCAGGCAAGAGAAGGGGACGGCGGACCAAGGTCCCGGATGGACAGCCGAGACGGCCTGGGCAATGTTCAACATCTGCGAGGCCACCTTTTCCTTGAAGTAGTCGGCGTCGGAGCCCAGTTTCGTCATTTCCTTCTTGGCCTCCTCGTTGGGAGCAAAGGCAGCCAGGGTAGCCAAGAACTGGCGAGAAACGGGAGCGCAGATTTCCATGTGGTAGCGAACGGCGGCATCGTAGGTTGTTGGGGTCGGGAAGGGGACCTTGGCGGTAGGGTCCATCCCCTTCATACTGATGACGGTGTGTCTCTTCTCTTCCAGGCCAAAAGTCTTCATCAAGCGATCCACTTCCAAGCCTGCGTTCGTGGGCCAAACTGCGATATGGTCGCCGGTGGTGTAAGAGAGACCGGAACCAGACACGTCGATCTCGCAATGGAGGCAGTTTCGATCTTTGACGGTAAACAACTCTCTGGACTCGGCAATCGGGGCAATGAAGGGGTTGTGAGCATTGTAGGGGCCCTTCTGGGCGCCTTCGAGGTGGTTCTTGTTGGGCTCTCCCAGATAGACAGTGTCGCTTTCTGGGGAGAGATCTTCTCTCTCTTCCACGCTGAAGACTGGTTCGTAGACGGCTTCACGTTCTTCCAGACCCATTCTCTCGGCGAGAGCAGCCCACATGGGTTCTTTCCAGGCCAAAAAGTCTTCTTCCATGGTGCCAGCGCCGTCATCTCCTTCACCGGCAGCGCCAATTCTTTCGGCGCCCAATTTGGTCAAGATCTTGTCCAAGTTGCGGACCATCGAGTTGTAATGCTCGTAGGTATTGTTACCCAGACCAAACGCGACATATTTGAGGTTACCCAACGGCTTATCTTCCGAGGCTTCGGAGAAGGAGGGAGGGTCTTGATTCATGAATTCCCAGAATTCGACTGCGTTGTCGGTCGGTTCGCCTTCGCCATAGGTGGCCATGACGAAGAAGGCAACTTTGTCTTCGGGAAACTTGTCCAGGTTTTCATAGTCGTAATCTTCCAGGTCAGCCGTCATTGTGTTCAGGCCAAACCGAGCGTGGCCCTCCTTTGCCAGTCGAGAAGCATAATCCTCGGCAGTACCGGTTTGGGAGCCGTAGAAGATGACGCAGTTTTTGCCCGATTCCTCCATCTTCTCGAGAATGTTGCGGGAACCCTTCTTGGAGGCGCTGCCATTGAGGGCAGATGTGGCGTAGGGGTCCTTGGGGACGCCCCAGTAGGTGCCTTTGGTGAAGTAGGCGATGCTGCCGAGGAGCAGCAAGACGAGGACAACAATGTCCAGAGTGTCGACCTGAGCCATGGTGGGGATTTGTATGGGATGAGGCTCAGTGGACATGGAGAAACTGGGCCTGGGAATGGGTTCGAAAGCACGAAAAGGGTTGTTCTAAGAAAGCAGAGCGACGCTGCTTATATACGAGCGCAGCCGCTCGGTGGTGAGCAATTGGACAGCGTGGAGATACGGGCTCGACGGGGCCTTGGGCACTGTTTGTGGCCTGATGTGGCCAAGATTACGGTGAGCAGATGGGCAGGGTGTGCAAACTGGCTTGGGTGGCTCGGGTGGCTTGGTGGGGTAGATGCTCTTCGGCTTCGCAGGCTGTCGGGTTCCTTCTTTTATTTTTTGCCTTTGTGTGGGCTGGGCGTCGCGTTCCAGCTGCCAGCTACCGAGTACCTAGGGGGAGGAGAGGGCGAGAGCAGAGCGGTTCGGAGGGAGGCCAATCAGTCGGTATGCTTGATGGCAGATGGGGCTAATGACGCCTTATCGGGGTGGTTTGTCGCCGTTCGAAATCGAAATCCTTCGACTGTATTCTCCCTTGGGAGGTTTGGCGGAAGTAGTGTCTTGTCTCTGAATTGAATATGCACACAAAGGCGAAGGGAGAGAGATTTGAGAGGGAGGGCTTGCGGGTGTTAAAAAGAGACTAGGAGGGCGAGGATCAAAGCAAAACTTGTACGCCGGCAATTGGGAGAATCGAGGAAAGATAGAGGATCTGGGGTCTGGAGGAAGTTTGGCCCTTTTTTTTGGATGCAACGGCAAAATGAGGTCGCGGAATTGTTTGGTGGGTTCGGTTGAAGAATCGCGGCTTTGTGCGAGAAAGTGACGAGAGCGAGAGGCGCGGTGGCTGTTCGGCACCTTGACGATGGTGAATGGGCGACTGCCGGAAACAACAACAGGGCGGGAGGCGTCTTCGGAATTGGGAGTGACTGGTAGCAGCACGGGAAGACGTATAATTGTACGGAGAATAGGTGCGCCTAAGGTGGAAGCTGATACCTGAGAGCCTCGTGAGTCCCGCGCGGGTTTGGCTCGGGCTAGTGAGGCTTGGGACTTTGGCGGGTTGTGAGGGACGGCAGTTGGCCTTTTGGCTTTTTGGGAGGACAACGACGACTCGGGAGGGGCATCAAGTTCCTTTTATTCCTTTTATTTCGATCCCCATCCACAGCCATGTACAAGTATGCTCACTGCCAATGCCGCCGCACTGCCGGCGATGCCTAACTGCGGTGTCTCCCATCGGCATCTGACTCTGAAAGCAGACAGAGCATGTTGTGCTTGTACTTGGTACATGTGGGTGCAAGTGGTGGCAACCGTTTCTTACCTGCGTTGGCCTCCCCTTGCCTCCCCTCTCTCTTATCCCCCCACATGCTACCTACCCCTACGAGTATACATACTCCCGATGGACCCCCAAACGGCCCGTCAGGCACCTCAGGGTTTACCTAAGCTTTGCCAACACAGTCAGCACAATATGAGAAGACTCCCGAATTGCGCATTCTCGGATGACGCTGATCAAACCCTGTAGCCGCCGCCGCTGTGGTAAGGGGAACCATATCCCGCAACGAGCCCCAGCAAGCGCAAGCCAGGCAATCCTCAATAGTCCCCTCGTATATCGTCTTCGAATTTACGAGCCTATCGCACCCGGTTCGGACTACTCCGTCTCGCACCTTTCGAAGGAGTCATCCCCCAAAATAACTTTGAAACATGACGAGAAATTGCGAATGATGGACATAATACGGGCATCGCCTCTGAAATCGACAGTCAATTTCATTGCCTAAAGCACAGAGGGAGAAAAAGGGAGCAAGCACCCTTTGGCGCCGGGCGAGTCTAGCAGGACCGTGACAGAGACGAGTTGATTCTCCCCAACTCTCCCCTTTAAGTTGGCTTCCTAGCTATGTTTCCATGGTGCGCGATATCTATTGGTGTGCCTGGCTGGGAAACCGACTCGACAGTTAGAATCGGCAGGCTGGCCTCATCTGATTCGACCACATGTGCCCCATGCCAGCGAATCGCACAAGTTGTAGCACATATATCCAACCAATTTGTAGACAGTGACTGTCTTCTCGCGATCGTCCTACAACCCACGCTAAACGACCGAAAGGGCACTTGTAGAATGGCCATTGACCTCTTATTCTATGGCACTTCACTTCGCCTCATCTCGTACATCCCTCAAGTTTGAGGGGGGCCCTTGTTAATGTTGTCATGTGATTGGTGGGCATCCCTCGTTGTACTTCGTCTCGTCTCCTTTGTAGCGGGCGATTAAAATTCCAACTTCAACGACAACTCACTGCACATTTTTCCTCTACTTTCCCTTCATCCACGGCCTCTACACCTCGCGCTCCTCGGGTCCAGAAGCAATGACGCAGTCTCTGCCTTCTCTTCAACGTCGGCCAACACCGGTGCACAATGTTGCATAACCGTGAGTGCCAGCTCGGAATTCTTCCGCTGCCCATCAAACACCAACACTCAATCCTCCCTCTCCACACGCTGCAAGATCTGCCCATTATCGATGCCCTGCGTCAAGATGAGCCCATGAGCCCATGAGCACATGACCCCCCTTCTAACCGAGTCCAATGCTATCAGATGCTCAATCAGCTTCTTCCAACGAGCCCTCCATCTTTCCCCTCGATGGCCCCGGACCTGAACAGATTTCCCAACCCTTGCCCAATGGCCGTCCCCAACTGGCTCCCGCGATCCATACCAGAGATGCATCGGTGACGAGAGGCAGGCCTCAACAGCCTTTGGCTCAGCAATATCCTTCCGCTGCTTCGTCGCGCTCAGGCTCGGTGCAGCCCCAGCCGCATGGCTCAGAATCAAGTGTGAGCTCAAGAGGTGGTCCCGCAGTCGACACCGCCCTGCAAAGGCGAACGTCAAACAGTTATGGCCATCACCGCCAGACATCCGTTATCCATGGCCTGCAGCACTCGAGAAGCCCTAGCTTCAATTCTCCCTCGACGGCAAGCCCTCTGACCCCCGATTCTTTACTGAGCGCCCCCAGCTATGGAAGATACCCGAATGCGAACCGACGCGGCCAGTATTCTAGCACCGAGAGCACCTCGACCTACACCAGCCCGGTGTCTCCATATCTAGGTCATACGCAAGGCCATTCAATCGATTCTCTAATTGATGGCGGTGCCTCGGTGCAAGAGTCTTCTTCCTCCTCGCAGCACAGGAGGCGCAAGGACCCGTCCAGAACAAGACGGGGCCACCCGGGCCATGCATATCGCTCGTCCAGCATTCATCAACAACCGGAACCGCGCACCCCAGGTGAATACGCCCTCCACCACCTTTTCCATGCATTTGTGCTGCGGGCCGATCAGAGAATCAATTACTGCGTTACCCTTCTGGATACTGCTCTTGCGCCGGTGGAGCAAGCCTGTGGGCCGGGCGTTGATGCTGGGTTTGACCAATTGATAGCTTCGCTTGGGCACATATCTCGTCAAGGTCCGAAACCTTTGGTGGATAGTTTGATGCTCTGGCGGAAGGGTAAGGGCGACGCCGCGGGCAATTTGAAGAAGCAGCTGGTTCAGCAGAGCCTGCAAATGGGCCTCACCAATTCGTCTCTGCCTCCTTCACTGCCCAGACGTCATACGGAGCCTCTCCATGTTTCAGGGGACACTGGCCTCTCCCAAACCGACGCTGAACAGGGCTCTTCTACAGAAGATGCTCTTACGCAGGAGAGTCAACTGGCAGATCTCCGTGCCTCGATATCGGTCTATATCCTCTGTCGAGTTCTGATTGCGATTTTTGAACAAAGCAGTCTGCCGGCAATAACCCAAGATTTGGCCAACAAACTTGAGGACATTTTGTTCACGCAGATGAGGGAGGTCGATCCCTCGCAGATCCTGTCATCCACCACTCGACTTGCCAATTGGAAGATCTATGGTGAGGTCCTAGGCCACATGAGTCGACTTGACTTTGTCAATGTCACGTTTCGTTTTACCCAGCAACTTGAACAGTGGCAGCTGGAGTTTTCCAAAAGTCCGGGGACCGCTAAAGCCAGAGAAATCGAATCTCGCCTCGAGTTGCTCCTGCTGGGTATGCGCCATCTCCATATTTCTGTTACGAGAGAAGCTGCCTTTAGTGTCGCCGAGTTCCTCAGAACCCTCGCCGCTCTGTTCTCCGACGCACATGGACCTCGAGTGAAGCAAGCATATTGCCAGCTATTCGAGCGCTTGCTCACGGCTGTGGCAGGTAACTCGGAATGTTTTCAGACAGTGCCGAAATGGAAAGACTTTATCGAGACTGTCAACTCGCGCCTGGGGAATATGTTGGTCAAGGTCCGTCATTGGAACACTGGCTTTCCTGTGTCGATTTTGCTCATATGCGTTTCGCCGATTGATGTCTTCTCTGCACAGTGGCTGTCAATGATTTCCAATCTGGCCGGCAAACTCAAGGATCGGTCAACACGAGCTCTGGCTTTGCAAGCCATCTGCCAGCTGGTCTGGACGTACCTCACACGGGTTGGAGAAGCCACCCAAGTCAAATTGCGTCGGTTGGAAGACATCATCAAACTCGTAGTTCCACAAGGGAGGAAAACCCACGTCGTCTCAGAGCCATCTACCGCAACTCCATTGGTCCAGTTTATTAGAATCATTGGCTTTGCGGCTCAAGACCTCTGTTTTCGTTCAATCATCTTTCCCCTTCTACATTATGACATGTTTCAAACGAGTCGAAACCTCAAGATTGAAAATATGGAGCCAGAACGAATGGTCATCGGCATACGAGCATTTCTCGCCGTCATGGCCGATTTGGAGAAAGATGGAACAAGCGGCCCGCCCTTCCCTGCCTTCACTGTTCAATCGCAGAATGTTGATGGTCTACCGGCCTCGCCTATGAGCAGGAGGACTAGCCTGGGGATAGATTCACCACTTCGACCGCGATTTGAAGATGAGAATCCGTCCTCGCTGCCAGTCAATACTGCCATCTTGGATGAGAACGCCCGACAATACTATTTGCAGTTCTGCCAGATCTTGGGCAAGATCACAATTCTCTGCGACAATACCTTCGGCGGACAAGCTACGCTGAATGAGAAGCTATCTTCGACGAACGTGACCCCCAAGACCCCTCTCGCTGATGCATTCACATTGACACGCGGCCAAGACGGAACGACTACAGACCAGCGACAGTCATACTATGAACTGCTCCATGTCGCTATCCAAGCTCTTCCTCGATGCTTCACCGATCACATTCCGTTGAGCCCACTGATCAACCTCCTATGCACGGGCTCTGCTCACGTGCAAGCCAACATAGCAGCTTCTGCTACACAGTCTTTGAAAGCGATTGCCAAACAGGGTCATGCCCAGGCCGTAGCAATTGCCTTCCCGCGGTTTATCTTCCACTATGACACCCAGTACTCTACAATGTCGGACGAGGGCCGCCTCGGACCGGCTCATATAGAGGCAACGTTGACGTTGTATCTTGAGCTGCTACAAATTTGGACAGAGCAGCTGAAGCAGAAGGCAGTCGCGAGCTCTTCGGATACAAGAGACCGTTCGACCCCAGGCTCCCACCGAGCCTTACAGATGGAACTCACCCATGTCATCCCTCATGTGGATGAAATCGAAGCCTATGGATTGTTCTTTCTTTGCTCGCAGTCTCGTCGCGTGAGAGCATTTGCTATCAAGGTTTTGCGACTTGTTGTTCAGTTTGATTCAGTCCTCGGTCACGAGGTACCATCAAGGATCATTAAACTTCTTGAAGGCCAATCGCCAACAATTCTGGACTTGCAGGAGGATGCACTCAATGTCGCAGAACGCAGCCGATTGCAAAAGGACAAGCGCACTGGCCCTGGCCAAAGCACCTTGATCGAGATTTGCAGTTCTGAAGTGTCCTACGACTCGACGCTCTGGTTCAAGGCGTTCCCTAATCTGATTCGCGTCGTATTTGACGCGTGCCCAAATGCCATCGCCCTATGCCGAGGGACAGTCACCGACAGGTTAATGATGATGCAGAATGATATTGAGGCCTTTTCAGAGACAGCTGGTGCGAATGCTGCCATGTACGAGTATCGCCTGCAGGGACGAAGCTCGGCAACGTCCGCAGAAGTGCTCTTTGAGCAGTGGAAATTGTACCTTATCATGGCCTGCGTCACTCTCAGCTCCCCGGGCGGCCAGTCTCGGAGCCAGCTCGCTGATGCTGCCGCTCATTCAAGGAAAGCATCAAAGACTGCTGCAACCGCACAGGACAAGATGAGTTCCGCCCGGGCGTTGTTCTCCGCCATCATTCCTATGCTTGGTGCCGCCCCCGACGCTATTCGTGACGCTGTGGTCGCAGCTCTTGGTTCCATCAACCGCAAACTTTGTCGTACACTTCTCGAGTCACTTCAGTATGCAGTGATCAAGTGCAACGACGAGGCAAAGGCGAGAATCAACCACCAGAGAACTCCAAGCAGTCCACAACGATCTCAGCAGACTGAACGACTCCGGACCGAAGTGACACATGTATACAAGCTCACGGCATCTTTCTTGCGTTATGAAGACGTCTATGAGGACGATTGGATCCTGCATAACCTTGTCAATTACACAAGGGATCTGCGCATCTTTCTGAGCGATACTGATGTGCAGAACGACTGGCGATTCCAAAAATTGAGATATCATTTCTGCGGGTTGGTGGAGGAGGTCTTCGAAGGTGTTAACAGATCAGACGCGCCATCTCGATGGATGCCTTTTGAAGCAAGGAAGTCTGCATTTGCCTTGATGGAAGATTGGTGCGGCTACTCTGCTGAGCGGAATTTGATGGATCCCAATCACGGTCATGGCCGAGATTTGCATGATCGGATGAACGCCAGTGCTGCCCTCGAGAAAGAGAAGAACAATCTGAGAGTGGCGGCTCTGAGTGCAATGGCGACGCTGTGCGCCGGCCCGATTAGCATCAAAACTGACAGTAACGCGATCCTGTCATTCAATTTACAACGAATGCTCTCATGGATTGATACGATCTTCGCAACCAACAACCATAAGATGCACACCATCGGGCGACGGGCACTCAAACTCCTCCTCATGCACAACCCGGAACACCTTGTGCTTGCCGAACATGCCATAGAGCAATGCTACAGGACCGAGTCTCCCATGGCGTTGGAAAGCTATTTTGGTGTGGTGTCCGAGGTTCTGATCCAACAGCCGAACTATCCTCTACCCTTTTGGAAAATTCTCAGCATCATCGTGTTCACCTTGGGGAATGAAAACCGTGAAATCAGAATGCAGTCGGCGCATCTAGTCCGCACTCTAGACGAACGCCAACAGAAGAGCACCAACCTGCAAGAGTTTGACATCAGCATTTCCGACAAGACACGGGCTGTATACAAACTGGCCCAATTCGAATACTCCAAGCGACTTGCCCAGGCCAACTCGGATATCGCATTTATGATCTTCTCCGAATTTTCGCTGCATTATAAATCTGCCCGAAACGATCACCAGCGGAATATGGTCGTTGCTATCTTGCCATGGTTGCAGACACTCGAGCTCCAGGTCGACCCGGGGACAGGATCTCCAACTGCCGCCTCGTATATGCTTCTAGCAAACATGTTCGAGATCACGATTTGCTCGAGTAGCGCAATGCATAACGAAGTCCAGGCATTGTGGCAAGCTCTGTCAACCGGACCACATGCGGGAAATGTGCAACTGATCCTTGACTTCATTATTTATCTTTCGCTTGATCGCCGCGATCAGAACTTTGTCGAATACGCAAAGCAGATCGTTGTGTACCTGTCTTCCACTCCTGCCGGTTCACGAGTGTTGGAGTTTTTCATGTTGCAACTCACTCCGAAGAATATGGTCAATGACAGAAAGCACGCCGATGTAGTGATGCCTGATACGAGAAACCTTCCTTATGTTGCTGATCTGACTTCTCTACTGCCTATGGGCAACAAGCAGGTACCGCTACTCCAGATTTTTAGATGAATCGCAGACTGATGAGCCATTAGGTTGGTCTTTCTCTAGGACAAGTCTCCCTGATTTTCCTGGTCGATCTCATGGTCACTCCAGTAACCCTTGCCAAAGATGAGGCGATCAAGCTCATTCACACTGTACTCATCCTTTGGGATCACTACACAACATCGGTTCAAGAACAGGCTAGAGAGATGCTGGTCCACCTCATCCACGAATTGGTCACCACGAAGATCGACTCCCAGATCCTTAGCTCTGCCAAGTCAAACATTGAAGGTCTGGTTGCGGCAATTCGAACCAACAGTTCTCGGATAAGCTGGACTTACGAGAGCAACACGAGAAAAGACGAAGATGACGGCGCCAGCCGGGTTCCCCAGGCAATGGGTGTCCTCACCGCAGAAATCGTGAACATCTTCAACCTCGCATTTGATAACTTCAGCGACAGCTGGGCTAAAGAGGCGCTGCACTGGGCCTCCATCTGCCCAGTCCGGCATTTGGCATGTCGGTCATTTCAGGTATTTCGCTGCATTTCTGTCAGCCTGGATGCCAGGATGCTTGCGGATATGCTTGCGCGACTTTCTAACACGATTGCTGACGAACACACGGACTACCAAACCTTTTCGATGGAGATCTTGACTACACTCAAAGTTATCATTGGAGCACTAGAACCTAAAAACCTCCTGCGATATCCCCAGCTCTTCTGGACAACATGCGCTTGTCTTAATACCATTCATGAAAGGGAGTTCTACGAGACCTTGGGGATGCTTGAGAAATTCCTCGACAAGGTGGATTTATCCGCTCCAGATGTCACGGAGGCAATGATGAAGGGACTGCCCGGAAAATGGGACGGTGGTTTTGAAGGGCTACAGCCGCTGCTTTACAAAGGGCTAAAGTCTGCTGACAGCTTAGACAAGACTCTCTTCATTCTTCACAAGCTCGCAGAACTGCCAGATTGCCAATTGGTGGGAAACGACAATCGCCTCCTCTACTGCGTCCTGGCAAACTTACCGCGATGGCTTCGAAGCTTCGAGCAGGCCGACGCCGATCCTGTGACAATAGCATCTGCACAAAGACTCGCAAAGGTGGCAAGTGTGGCTGGCCACGATGTTCTTTCTGGTTGCCTTCAACGTTTCGCCAATGACGAAATGACTTCAACTCAGGAGATGCTCACCGCAACCGTCCAAGCCATGAAGGTAGCCTACTTCCCAGCATGTGATGCCCCAAGTTTGATCTTTATGATCGGACTGCTAACCAACAAAACACCATGGTTCCGAGTCAAGCTGATGGACATTTTATGTCAGCTGATCCCGATTGTGAATATGAAAAGCCATGCCATCACGACCCATGGACCTGATCTCATCTCCCCACTACTGAGACTATTGCAGACTGAGCACTGCACACAGGCTCTGGAAGTAATGGATTATATCATGGAAGTGGCGGCTACGCCAATGGAAAAGCATCATATGCGGATGAGCATGGCTTCTGGCTCAGCAAAGGCGATCAGAAAAGAGTATGAGCGGACGCAGAGCCTCTACGGGATACCTCACTCGTCCGGTTGGTCTATCCCCATGCCTGCCATTTATTCTAGCATGACAAGGCACAATGTCCATGCCGTCTTCTATACATGCGGAGACTCGGAGTTCCTGCAGGAGCAAGAGACGACCACTCCAGACGTTGAGTTTCAAGGTGACGACGGCTACACGGACTCATATTTCCCCCCGCAAAGCCGTGCGGAAACCATCCGATCATTGGAAGTTGCCGCGGATGCCAATGTCAGTGACTTGGTGAATACTCTTGACAGTCTCGATGATTTCTTTGACGACGTCGATGATGACGATGTGTTGACCCCAACCGGAGCCAGTCAGCTTGGAGTCTCTGCCATCACGATTCCCACTCTTACTGAACAGAGCACAGCATTGTATGATGAGCAGACGGCTCCAATCCTTCGCCAGAGTCTAGCGCGGACGGCGTCGGCGACCACTGTGCAGGATGGGTTTACCGAAGTTGGATCCCTTCCTGGCATCACCCATCGGGCCCAACCCAGTCTATCTTCTCCAAACTCCACTGCAAAAACACAAACCTCGATCTCTTCGAATGATGAGTTGGGAGGCCCAGGACCTTCATTGCCAAATTCCACAAAGAAGCCAATCCTTCAAAGCGTAATCAGTTCGATCAACCATACTCGACCTGGACTTCATGCCAGATCAATCACCTCTCCAGCGAACCAATATCCGGTGTCACAACCCACCTCAAGTGGAATGGTTCCTGTGTCCGAAGGTATTTCGCTCAGGTCTCAGGACGATTACGCCGACCAATATGATGAAGTCATTCTGTCGGATGGAGAGAACAGCCCCTTCCCATCGCTGAGCATGACCTTGTCAAACCAGACCAAATCTTTGTCAGGGCCAGGGCCCTCCGAATATCAGACAACCCCAACCTCTGCGACCGAGACCGGAGGCGCGTTCAGCCTTCAAGGGATGCGAAGAGGCATGCGGCGTCTCACAGGCGGCAAGAGTGAAAGTCAAAAGGAGAAGGAGAAGATCAAAGATATGGCACGCTTGCGCGGGCAATCTGGAGGTCAGGGTCAAGTAACTGCCGCGTTGCAGAGTCCCAGGGTTCCGAGGGTCCCTGCAGAGTATCTCAATGCCACTAGCATGAGCGGAGTCAGTCCAACCGCGAGCCCCGGAGTCTGAAGGCATAGGGGAATGATTTTTGTCTTTCGAATTTTTCCATTTCTATCACCACATCAACGATACCCATAATAGAGCATCATGGAGCATGACAGCGGTCTCATCGGCGTTTCTTGAAGATTTCCAACGGCTACAATGTGTCTGTGTACCATATACAAAGGCTATTCTCGAAAAGGAGGATAAAAAGCTTGGTTTGTATACTAGTGTTAACAATTGCAGATGCCCGAGGAAGAGATGTATCACATCAAAGTCTTTCGATTTCATCCAGAGATTCTCATTTTGTTCACTTTGATTCTTTGCGAGCTTTTGGCGAGAGTTCGCGCCAGTCCACGCGACCCAGCGGAGACATGTCAACGGCGCACTGACCATCACCAGCATTCCTACGTTCTATTACATTCCGAGCAATCGGCCCAAACAGCAGAGCCGGCGATACGCGACTCAAGATCGTCTCTATACAAGAAATACAGGTAAGTGAAGCAGAACAGGAGGCGACGCAGCAAGATGCAGCTTACGAAGTGCATCAGATTGGGCCATATTCTGCTTACCTTGTACAGCTTTACGGCCGTGTCTACCGCGCAGTCAGGTTAGGTGTTCCGTTACCACCTCAAGGGCCTAAATGCTAACCCCAATAAAGTATCGATGTTGCCCGACGGTTGTTATCTTACCTCGTCAGTCGTATATGGGAACATCACCGGCTCAAGCAGCTTGACCACCACCAGCCAGAGCCAGTCAACCATATCCACGAGCTCTCCAGCTTCAACACCAACCTTTAGCAATGGCGCATCATCGTTCTCCACGACTACGCCCTTCAAACCCTCAAGCACGCCGAGTCCCACGTTGCCATCCTCAACACTCCCTCCTCCAACCTCAAGCCCATTCGTGATCACTGTCAGCGGTGTCGGCAATAAATTGCGCGCTCGCTCGCCGGACTTCGTGACGTTCATTGGAAGTAATGCTTATATCTCTCCCAACAAAGACCTTGCTGCTATTTTTGTCCTTGCTTTCGACGGCCAATTGTGCGTGGGGAATGCAAGTGTCGGTACCAACGGAAATACTGGCTCATTGCCTCTCGTGCAGTTCACCGGAGCAACGCAGCCGAGCGGATATAGATGGTCTTTCAATGCGACGAGACTGATCTTTGGGGATACGACATTCTCTATGACTCCGGGCGGACAATTATTTGTGATTTTTCCTGGCGGTCAGCCGCCTGAAGGATCTATGCAAGTTGGCGTGGGAGCTGAGTTTATTGATGTTTCAACATCCAGCTCGAGCCAGTCGACTATGATAAGTACAAGCTCGAGTTCTTTAGAGGACACAAGTGCTCTCGCGACTGTTACGACCACCGCTGAGGAACAAACAAGCGAGACTACTCTGCAGACTCCTCAAAGCGCCTTCACGACCAGCAAGGATCGTTCTTCTGTCTCCAGTACGGGATTAAGTCCTTCCTCAGACAGTACGACGACGACAACGACAACAACAACATTAATAAGCACAGTAGCTGATCCTCTGCAATCCACGCAATCAATGTACGTCGGTACAGGTGCCTCTTCAGTATCGGCGCAGACCAGTCCTATGACCCCAGCGCATCAGTCTTCAACACAGATTTCAACCTCTATCCTTTCTTCAGCGCCGCAGACACCGACCTCGTCCTCTCACCCATTGTCTCATTCGCTTACAACTGGAAGCACAACAGCAACTAGCCTCTTCACCTCGTCGCCTTCAACTCAGACTGCAAATGCTCAAAGCAGCCCGACGACATCATCATTATCATTATCATCATCGAGGACAACCAACATGACCACAGCGGTGGGTGTCTCTGCGTCTAGTTCAACTTCATCTCGTTCCGCTTCAGCAACGACAACCTCATCGAGTGCCACATCTACATTTTTGGGCCCAGCTTCTACAAGTCCATCTCCAAGTCTATCTTCTAGCACGACAAAGTCAACTACCACGGCGTCAAGTCAAACATCCCAGTCCATAACCAACAGTCCATCCGGCCAGGGCTCCGCTAGCTCACCTTTGATCTCTTCGTCTTCTGCCCCCATGACTATCACAACCAGCGCTAGGAGCTATACAGGTATGAATACGGGATCAACAACCAGAACCAGCAGCATCTCAACCTCAATCTCCTCTTCCGCATCCCGAAGCACGTCGTCTTCAATTCCTGTACCCACTCCGTACCCAGCAAAACGCGGCCTCGCCTACCGCAACGTAACTACCCTTCAATTCTATCCCCCACTCTCGCCCTACATTTCCTGGTCGTACAACTACTACTCACTTCCCAACGCCAGTGACGACATTGGGCCGTACCCTTCCAGCCAGTACCGCTTCATCCCTCTCCTCTACAACGACGCTGACTCCCTCACGTCCGTTTGGTCCGCCAACGTTAACTTTTCCATCGCAAACTACGGCGCGGACGCCATCTTCGGGTTCAACGAACCCGATGCCAACTTCAACGGCCAGTCCGCCAACATGCCCGTCGCGCAGTCGATCCAGGGCTACCGGAATTTCATGCAACCCTTTGCCGGGCGTGTCAAAATCGGCGCCCCGGCCGTGACCAACGCGGGCGGCGGGCTCACGTACCTGGCACAGTTCCTGGGCAACGCAACCCAACAGAACCTCACGATCGACTTCATCAACATCCACTGGTACGCATCGCCGTACAACATCGACTACCTCGAGACCTACCTCCTACAGGCGTACAACCTCTCCCTAACGTACTTCGCAGCGACGCCCATACCTGTCTGGGTAACCGAGTTCGGCATGGACCAGAACAACTACGACCAGGCCACGACGGTGCAATTCCTCAAGAACGCAACTCTGTGGATGGACGAGCAGGCCTGGGTCGAGCGGTACGCCTGGTTCGGCAACTTCCCCGGCGAACTTACCACTTACGGCGCCCCGACGACGAACATGCTCCTCAATGTCGACGGCAGCGGGCGCGGCGTGCTGGGGGATGTGTGGTATACGTATAATGGGACGAATTAGGCTGGAGCACGTGGTGTATGAGAAAACAGGGGAGAGTGGTGCGGAGGCGGGCCAAGGGGAGGGAGAGAATGTTGTTGGAGCACAGAAGGGACGGAGGAGTGGAGGGATGGGACTGAGGATAGAATTATCTGCTTTCTACCATCCGCTATCTAACTATTGGGCTTAGTATCGTGTCGTCTCCGGCGTCCGAGGCGGGCGAAGGTGGATGGCGGAGGTTTTCTATTTCCCTTTAGGCATCTATCTGTCAACTATCCATCCGCTTGGCCTTCCTTCCTCTGCGCCTTCTGCCCATTGGGGCTTGTCTTATGTAGGGTTGATTAATTCATCATGCTGACTTTGTACCGTCGACTCCATAATACTGACTGCTACTGGTGCTGGTGCTGTTCCTAGCACCGCTCAAAAACGCGATACAGCCCTTTCAAATTGGCCACTTCGACGACGCCCCTCAGCATGCCCTGGGTCGCGACGATCCTTGACCGAAACGCAGGGAACAGCGCGTGTTCCAATGCGTGTTCGAGCTCTGTCCTTCGTTTCTCTGTAGCTTCGTCAAGGTCGTCTTTGATGATATTGTCGTCGCTGTTGTTGCCTTGCCGGCCGTGAGGTGCAGGTGCAGGTGCAGGTGCATATTGCGTCCCAGCTTCGTTTCCTCCCTCTTGCGTCTCCACCTCGTCGAAGCCATCGGCTTGAGTCTCCTGCATCTCCTTGTCCCGGTCCTTGAACGTGTTCTGTTTTGGCTTCAGCGCTGGCAATATCTCCGGTACGTAAAAGCTCGCCAACTCCCTCAAAAACGTACGGAAACATCCCTCCTCCTCCTTCCAGTTCACAAAGGGGCCCAGCCTCAATAAGAAGGTGGGTAATTTAGCCATACAGGGTATGTACCCTTTCAGCAGCAGCGGAATCGACTGCAAGTGACCGTCGTCGGAGATGTTGAGGGAGAAATACTCGGCTAACATGGCTTTGGTTTTCATGAGTTGTCCATATACCTTGTCCACGACTTGGCCTTTGTCTAGGTCTGCGCAGGTCGGGTCGGTTGAGATTTGATGTTCTGCTGCTACATCTAGCAGCTCCTTCAGGCTTGGCGCAGGTTCGAATTGGATGAGACCGAAGTTGCCAAAGTCGGTCAGCCCGATTTGATAGAAGAATTCGTTAGAGGTCGTGCCGTAGTCGACAAGGTATAGTTTAACGCCAGACTGGATGGCGGCGAGTCTTCTATTACTGTCCACAATACCAACATAGGTTAGAGAGGCAAACACCTCGGTCAGACCGTTGTGCATTGCATCGCGGACTTCAGCTCGCAGATTCTTCACAGAGGTGAGACGGATTTGGCATTGTTCTCGATCGGTGGTTGTGTAGCGTACACCGTCAGTTGTCACTGGTTCGTCTTGAGAAGTTGAAGTTGTCAAGGACCGCGGAAGCATGGATGTAATTTTTCGCATTTTCGAGTCGGTGCGGACGAGATTGTTTTCGTAAGGCTTTTTGGAGGTTGAGGACTTTCTTGCAGTACTATCGTCTGCAGCAGGAGTATGATCCCCGGCGAGGGTCCTCGGGTTAACCGGCGTCATGGGCGTGACTCCAGGAAGGAGTGTTTGTGTCTTAAAAGTCCTGCTCGTGTCGACTTTTGCCAGACTTTCTCGGATATTCGCACACACCAACTCTATGATCTCGTCCTCATTCAAAAAATGAACTTCTCGCTTGGTCGGATGCACATTTACGTCAACTCTAGCAGGATCAATGTCCAGGCTGAGGTAAACGAATGGATGTCCACCTTTGGGGAGGAATAATTGATATGTCTGCTCAATGGCTTTCTTGACGGCCGATGACTCGACTGACCGGTTGTTGATGAAGAGGAGTAACATAGTTCGTTTAGAACTGTAATTAGCATTAGTAGCATAGCCTGAAGCTTTGAAGCCCCAACGTGAATCTTCTGTGCCGAATGGCATGATCTCTTTGGCCACGCCGGCACCGTATGCCTGTTTGAGTCGGTCGACTTTGGTTGCAGCAGCGGCTACGGAAAACCCTACACCGGTCTCGCCGTGCTTTTTGACGGAAAAAGCAACGCCTTCGCGGTGGACGGCATATCGGGTAATGACATCGAGCACCTTGGCATATTCTTCGGAGGGAGATCGAAAGGCCCGACGGCGGTTCGGGATATTGTAGAAGAGGTCTTCGACGGTAATTTGAGTACCAGGACGTCCGGCACAAGGCTTCGGATCCAGGGATTGACCAGGTTTGGGGGCAGTTAGTTTTCCATCTTGGTAATGGGCTTGCCAGGCACAGCTAGAGTTGGCGGTCCTGGTAGTGACTTTGAGATGAGCAATATGACTGATACTGGCAAGGGCTTCTCCTCGAAAACCGTAGGTGCTGATGGACATGAGATCCTCGAAGCTTTTCAGTTTGGATGTTGTGAACCTTTCGCAGAGAATAGGCAGGTCGTCTTTCTACTGCGAGTTAGATGAAGAGAGAAGTCCATCGGGTGCAGGACGGTACCTCAATGCCATGGCCATTGTCAGTAATCTGTAAGAGCTTGAGCCCGCCATCTTTGACCAGGATCTCGATAGAAGTAGAACCAGCATCGATGGAGTTTTCGAGGAGTTCTTTGAGAGCATTCACGGGGGCGACGATGATTTCCCCGGCAGCAATTTTGTTGACGACGTCTTGATCGAGAGGCTTTAGGAGTGCCAGTTAGCGAGACCCTCAACGTACTGCCTCAGAGACGTCAACATGCCTTGATACGACGCGGAGCCTCAGGAGGCAAGCCTGCATCTTCCGCTGTTCGCTTGATGCCACGCGGTGGAGGAGCGGCGTCCACATCCATAGGCTCACTCATTTTGGAGTGGTCAGATGCCGGCGGCTCTGTTATCATCCGTTGAGAGGGACGATGGCAAGGGCTGGCTGGACGGATAAAACATACATATATATACTCTCAGGACCGAGGACAGTCAAGCGCATAATGGAGGGGGGAGGCCAAGGGAGGCGCGACGTCACATGCTTTGGCTGCTTGATGGAGTCCACAGACCCTGCAAGCCTGATGCTTTTCCTCCACTTCGACCGCACCCAAAGCAAAACTAACCCACCACCCTCGACCCTTGACTTTTCCTGCTCTGTTGTGTTCGTGTCCTCTTTGTCGCGGCGAGAACAGGAGACCAGTAGGGGTAGCCTCCCCGGCCAAAGTCACCCAAGAAAGAGAATCTGTCCCATGGACCAACAGCGGTAGCACGAGCAGCAGCCAGCAGCAGCGCCCGCAGCAGCTGACCGCCCACCATGGCCATGAACTTTGTGACCTTCAATCAGGACTACAGCCATCTGGCCGTAGGTATGTGGCTATGGCAACCCTTCTGCCACTGTGCAGTCGACCTGACTTGCCGCAGGAACCTCGAGGGGATTCCGCGTCTTCACCACCGAACCATTTGCAAAATCCTTTGAATCCCGAGATGCTGGCAACGTTGCTATCCTCGAGATGCTTTTCTCTACCTCTCTTGTCGCCCTCATCCTGTCTCCGAGGAGACTGCAGATCAAAAACACAAAGCGCGACCTGATAATATGCGAACTCACCTTCCCAAATGCCGTCCTCGCAGTGCGCTTGAACCGAAAGAGACTGGTGATTGTCCTGGAAGATCAGATCTACCTCTATGATATCCAGACTATGAAACTGCTGTACACCATCGAGACATCCCCAAATCCAGCAGCAATATGTGCCCTTTCCCCCTCGCAAGACAATTGCTACCTGGCATATCCCTTGCCCCAAAAAGCCGCCACTTCATCCTTCGCTCCACCTTCACACGCTCCACCCAACAGTACGCATGTTCCTCCTACGACCGGAGAGGTTCTGCTGTTCGATGCCGTCAAACTAGAGGCCGTGAACGTTGTGGAAGCTCATCGGTCTCCGCTATCGTGCGTGATTTTTAACAATGAAGGAACTCTGCTGGCTACGTCTTCGGACAAAGGTACCATTATCCGAGTCTTCTCGGTCCCAGATGCACACAAACTCTACCAATTCAGAAGGGGCTCCATGCCTTCCAGGATCTACAGTATGGCCTTCAACATAACCTCGACCTTGCTCTGCGTGTCCTCGGCCACAGAGACTGTCCACATTTTCAAACTTGGCCCTCAACACAGTCGGGCCACGGAAGAGGGCGAGGAACCGGCCTCGCCCAGCAAGATGACCAATACTCAGAGCCGGAGATTGAGTCAAGGCAGTGACACCCTTGTAGACCAACCTGTCGACGAGGAGGACGGGGCGGAGTCACCAACCGCAATGGCAAACCGCAAGCCAAATGGAACGTTCATGGGCCTCCTTCGGAGGACGTCACAACATGTAGGAATAAACTTGGCCTCCACCGTTGGCGGGTACCTTCCGAAAGGAGTTGCCGAAATGTGGGAGCCGTCGAGAGATTTTGCCTGGATACGACTGCCCAGATCCAGCTCGGGTGCGGCACCGAGTCAACTGCGCAGCGTAGTGGCTATGAGCGCAAATTCACCACAGGTTATGGTTGTCACAAACGAAGGCAATTTCTACGTCTTTACCATCGACTTGGCAAAAGGGGGTGAAGGAACCTTGACGAAGCAGTACTCGTGAGTGGCCGCTTTTCGGAAGGTATTTCAGGGGAGCTAACAGAAAATAGGGTCCTTGACATTAATGACAAGATGGGAGCATCAGGAATGGACTTCTGATTTCAAAAGCGCCATGACGAGGAAGCTTGACAGTCGGCGAAGACCAGATATTGACGTGCACCGACTTCTGACATTTAGCGCTGGCGTTGTGGCGTCGTAATATATAAGGAACACTTCACCCCCCTTCGCGGCCACAAAGGGGTGAGAGAGGGCAACGATCCTCTATTGGAATTGAACGAGTTGAGAGGAGACGCATGGCGCTCCAACTCGAAATGAAGGCGCTGCTGGAATGATGGATCTGAAAATCCGGACGAGATATTACAAGTGAATTAAGGAGTCAACTGTGTCTGCAGCCAGTTAGCACTCATTTAATGATTTCCAGTCTGTCATGATTGTGTCCTTACGCCGACCTCTCACCGAAGCCGTCTGACATGGTCCTTGTCGAGTCCATCGCCGTCTGAGTCCCAGGATAGTACCACGGCAGGAGAGCAAGAACCCATCCTATGCATCTCCATCCTGCACCGTTGTACTACCGAATGTGTGTGTGTATGTCACTTAGCTTTTATTCCCCTGTCCACTTCGCCTCTCTCGTCTGTGTGGCCTGGCAATCTCACCTCCCCCCCGCGCAGTAGACAAGACAAGATCCAGGCTCAGACCCAGACCCAGACCCAAGCATCCCGTCAACAGAACCAGCCCAGCCCAGCCACCCAGTAGCAACGAGTCCGCACCCAAAGCACGTCAGGATACAGGTGCAGTACGGTTCTCGCGCTCCTGGCAGCCGAGCTCTGCGACGTCGTAGCAAGCGCGGACGACAGGGCCGATTCTTGGTCGTGATTCGGCTCCAGGAACGACGACGGCGCGACCGCCACGGTGGAAATCACCAGCGTGCTGCTTGCTCCCGCGGGCGGGGGAGAGGCTGTCAAGTCGATGGTGCAGGTATGAATACGCACCATAACCTAAGCATCGCGTCGCCCACTAGGCACACAGACGCAGTAGACCCCGGACAGGAATACTCCTGAGACGCCGACATGTCGACACAAGCGGTTTGGAAACTGCATCCATCAGGAGTGATCGCGTTGTCGGCAGCTGCGTTATTGACGTAGAATCCCGTGCAGCATCCCATAGCAGGCAAGGCGTCGTCCAATGCGCAATATCTCTCGGAACATCCTACGGGGCTCGCTGTGGACGAGTGTGTATATGTCAGTGTATTGGTGTAAATAGAGAAGTTAGCTATGGTATATGGGAGCATAGAAGGAGAAAGGGGGAGGAAAAGAGTGGCGGTTGAAACGTTTACGTATAGGAGTTCCCATCGACGTAGCCATAGATAGCGTCGTCCACGTCTGGTCGAAGAAGGCCATGTCCCAATGGCGCTATCACTGGCGCTTTAGGAGGCGCCGACGGCCGTGGGCATGTCTCGCGCTGAAGATGAAGATAGGGAAGCATGTCGTTGTTGTTGTTGTTGTTGCTGTGGCTGTAATCTGCAAAAGACGTCCTCGTTTGCAGCCGGCCCTTGAGCGAACATGCTGCACCCAGGACAAGGGTGCTAAGACTCGGACAATCGAGCATGAACCATCTCATCTTGACAGAGACAGAGATTGGTGACTAAATTTCTGAATTACCTGTCCCATCACGCAGAGAGTCGACAGATCCTTTCTGACGAGGGCGCATAGAGCACGGGAAACCAGAAGGGAGAGGAGAGATGCCCCATCCCTCGTCTGATCAGCGTGGTCGAAACGAGACATTGTGTTCAATTAGCAATTAGACATGCTCGAGAATCGAGATCATCCTCACACCGCCCGGAAGACGCTTGGGATCGATGGTCTGTATGAGTTGATCCACGATCATCAGGGTTGACAGGCCACGAACATCGCATCATCGAGGGCGAGTAGCCGCACTCCTTTGCTTGGTGTTGCATGTTCATAGACGATTGATCCATCATTCTGCCATGATGTGTCTTGTGGGGGGAGCGATGCACATAGTTGGATTTCGGCAGAGACTGCTCACTCATGAAGTAGATCACTTAGCGAAATGGCCTTCTCAGTTGGTTTGAGACCGATACGCACCTCGTCGCTTGCAACCTTGGCGGCCCCTACCAAGTGCCTCGTACGTATAGACCAAAACCGGCCTAGTGCCTCGCGACTCAGCCTCGTTTCCTCATGCCCAAATTCTTGCTGCCTTGACTGACAACAAACCACAGTGCCATCCAAACGAATCAATTGGTCGTGGTAGTTGCGAGCCACGAGCGGAATGGTATAGCTTCCCTGAACCTCTTGCCAGACAATTGTAATTTGTTGCATGAGACTCTAATCTTTGGAAATGCCGAAGAGGAAACGGCAAGCAGCCGACTTCGTTCTAGGAGACAATCCAAGCGGTGGGCTGGCAAGAATCCTACGCCCACGCAAGTTCCCACGACAGGGCCGGCATGTTTCAATTGATCTTTCGACGTATCGATACCGCCCGCTTCAAGGCCCATCCTGGATCCGGGTGCTTCGGGTTGAGCCATCACCGAGCTTCGAAGAGCCACTTCAGGTCAATATTCATCATTTCGACCGTGATGCTATCCCCTACACCTTCGGGCCTGACAAGCAGTCATACGATGCACTATCATACGCCTGGGGCACCGAAAAGCCTACTATCAAGGTAGCGTGCGATGGCAACTCGCATCTGGACATTACCCCCAACGTGGACCAAATGCTTCGACGCCTGAGAGCCAAGGATAAGTGCAGACATTTCTGGATAGACGCCATATCTCTGAACCAAAAGGATAAAGCGGAGAAAGCCACTCAGGTTCCGCTGATGGGTGAGATTTATCGACAGGCAGCGAAGGTGCGAGTGTGGCTAGGAGGAAACGAAAACGGCGGAGACGAAATGGCCATCAAGAAAATCTTTGCGTTATTCCGAGTCCTTGTCGTGAAAGTGGTGAATCCCGATCGGGACGAACTGGTAAGACTATTCGGAGCAAAGTCGACGTCGTGGTCAGTCATCGATGGATTTCTGCGTCGAGCATGGTTCCACCGGTATGTCTGGTTCCGAGCCTTGTATGCTGAGATACTGACCTGATCAGCCGTTGGGTGCTTCAGGAAGTTGCGCTTGGCAGAGACACTGTTGTGTATTGCCATACCGAGAAAATCTCTTGGTCGCTGTTCGCCAGGGCCTTGGATGCTTGTCGCACGTCACACTATCATGGCCATCTGCACTTCGAGCCGACGGCTTTGGCGGCACTTAACCACCTTTCAGCTTTGCAAGAGAAGGATAGGAAGATACTCACGCTTCTCTGGAAGTTCGACCATGCCCAATGCACAGACCCTAGAGACAGGCTTTTCGCTCTTTATGGCATCGCAAGTCACATCAGGTTCAATGATCTGCCTAGTGTTTCCGACGTCGTTAGCCAGAGCATCAGGTGCTATGTCGATTATGATGTACCCACAAACCAAGTATATATGGATTTTGCCAAAAGCTGCATTGAAGGCGGGCATATTCTCGTCATCCTCGTACACGCCGTGTCTTTTGGCAGTCTGTCCGACACGGATTCATCCATGCCCACTTGGTTACCGGACTGGTCCCGCGCGAGACGTCAGACGGTGCTGCCGCGCACTGAATACGGTATAAATGTCGCAACGATAAATCTCTGCAAGGCTGCCTGTTCGACATTACAGGACTCCAAACGTCTCGGAGCGAGTATCATTTGCCGTGTCTCGCAAGTTGTACGAGCAACGACCCTAGTTTCCTCCGAACAAACACCAACGTGGGCTGCGATTGCATTGCACATCATGCAAGCCCTCGGTGGGCACCAGCCCGAAAGCCTGAGCAGTGATTGGAAGGAACAACTTCGAGAGATCATACTCGCGCTTCTGGATCGCATTGGCGCAGCTCATGGCGTGAAGAAGCATGTCATTTCTCCAGGTATTCGGCGAATGGAGATCGTTTGGTTTCTGACAGCGCTCTCGGAGGAGTATCTGCTGATTGACGCGACCAAAGAAGACGATCGCCAAGAGCTGCGTGGCCGCGAGGACTTTACACATCATTCCACGTGGAGGCAATGGATGAGTAAGGATATACTCAACCTTCTAGCGAAGGCATTGGAGAGAACTTGCATCTTTCATGCCACAAATCCCGACGACGAAGATCCTGTTGTTGGCGTTCGTGAGATCAGGGGCCTGGCTCCAGCCGAGATCAGGACGGGAGATTGTATCATGCAAGCAAGTCTGTTAAACGGTGTGCAATGGTCTGAGCACAATGGATTCGTGCTCCGAGAGACGGAGGTGCGAGTACATGACGAAGACTTGAACAAGATAAAACCGGTACTAGAACCGTTCGAGGCTCAGAATTCGATCATCGTACCGGCGTTCGGCGTGCCAGGGATGTCCTTCTATCCCTATAGGAAGAATGCGTGGCATCTTGTCGGACCGTGCTCCATTATAATTCGGAAAAAGAAGAGGTACGGAAAGGATTATATCTTCACAGTGGTCTAGAAGAATGAAGGGAAACTCGATGAGGGAACAACTTAAAGACTAACGTCGATAGCACAATATATTAGTCAACGGCCAAAGAAAGGATAAACGGTCCAATACTACCGCTACGGCACGATCTAGGAGGAATTGAATTGCATGCTATGCATGTTTCGAGATGAAGGGAAAGTGAACGGCGACTTGACCAAAAGTCGGAATTCTAAAGTAACCCTCGAAAAAAACCCACTCCCTAGTTTTCTGAGCCAGATCTGTATGCTTTTATTTCTGAAAAAGAATTATTCTACAGCAGCTCATTCAGGAAGATGATTTCTAGTCACCCTCGTGCCGGGGCCGTGAGATGTCCAGAGGCATGGGGCAGAGCCTCACTGGCCACATACATGAAACTGTGGCAGTTCTCAATTTTCCCTGATTCCTTCAGGCCCCTTGCTGCGATCAATCCTACAACAATAGCACTGCAAGCCCTGAAATTCAGCCCCTGTTTTCAAGGCCATATTGTACAATCATGCCTCCCAATCCCCTGGTTCCCAAACACAACCCTCAGCGTAACCCTAAACCATGCAGTCCCTCGATCAGAAGTACGCCTTCCGGAGGACCTCCATCAGCATAATTTGCGGCTCATTCTCTCTGTCCTCCCTGGGAAGCTGACGTCGTCAATCAGCTGCCGTTCACGAGTACCTCTTCACTAGGTATGAATGTGTCGGTTGTTTGGATGTCGCTGCCTCTGACAAGCCGTGGGAGCTCTAATCCGGCATATCGTTATGCTCCTGGCGCTTCAGCCAGCTGGGTATCGCGCCTTCCATAGCATCTCTGCTACCTCTCTCTTCAGAGTCGGCTATGTGAAGTCCTCTCTGGGCTCTTGCTTGACTGTAATAGATGCCTCGTCGTGTTCTGACTGATATTTGGTCTGAGTTCGAGGACGAACTGCAGGTCCAGGTTTGATGCCAACGGCTTGCTTGAAAACTTGTTCAGCACTATTGACAATCTCCAGGACTCTGCGAGGAATGGTTGGCCGATCTAGAGGCTTGACTTCTTGCCTGATCAGCACACTAGAATACTCTCTCTGGATATCCAGGAAAATGGCATCAAGCCCGCTGCGTAAAGTTTCTCTCAGTCCCTTGATCATATTCTTGATAAGTCCATGGACGTGGTCGACAGCTTTCTCAAACATGGACGTCTTCTCATCCTCGACATACCGCTCCATGTGATCCCGCATCCGTCGGTAGGATCCTGGGCCATATTCGTTGGCGCAAGTGACATAGACGTCATGCATATGTTCAGTAATTAGAGGCTCAAACTCGCGGTTGAAGGTGCGCTGCTGCTCGATGATCCAAGCTCTCGCGTCGCTGATTATGTCTTTCAACCGTTCCTGGTAAAGGGGTATTTGTTGCTTTAGCATCTCGAACGAAGCCACCGAAGCACCATTGCGGACTGCGCGGCGCGCAACATCATTGTGGAAAGCGGTGATGGTGTGAACCACGTTCGTTGAGAGTCCATTAAGGATGATCGGCATCCTGCGAGTAAAGACTGATTCCCAAGGTCCCGCGAGGTGGCGGATTAGTGGTTCAAGTAACTGCGCGTTGAAATTATGGCAGCCTTGGGCGTTTGTGAAGCATCCATCGCGGCGAACCACTGCTTTGTACGTTGCCCAATAGAGACCTCCTGCAGCGCGATCTGACCGATTGACAGGCGACCCCCATTTCTGAACAATATCATCTGCCTGAGCTCGGGCAGCCGTCGTAGCATGGGGATACGCGTCATAGACTTTGTCATCAAGCTCATCAACAAGTCTATCGACAATATCGTCGCCTGCCTTTTCGAGCCCCTGATACCGGTTAGTAAAACATATTTCTGAGCCAGCGCTGGTAAGAATGTAGACGGTTGGGAGTGCAGGGAACTCACCGAATCGAGGTTACTGAGCATCTCTCTCAGCATTTGAGCTTCTTGGCCCATCTGCTCCTCTGTGAGATTCTTGGGTGTGCTATCATTCGAGGCCCATAGACGGAGGGAATTTAGCAGCTGAAACATGCTCGTGAGGAACTTGCGGGCGCACGCTTGACGAGCAGTGGCGGTCAACTGAACGCAGTGAGCTTGCAGCGCTGGCACTTCTGTCTCATCGATGTGTTGGAAGCCTGGAGGAGTACGGTCTCTGCGGAGTCTCCCCTTCAACTTCTGATATGCGCGAGAAGATACGCAGAAGACGGGTAGGTTTCGAGCCACTTCATCATAGTCGCGCGCATCCACTTCGGGGTCGAAGTTTGCAGCGTCTTCTTCTTCAGCGAGCTCCTGATCCAGTTCGCGGATGCCGGCTGCGTAGTCCTGGCGAATGGCACCTCGTGAATACTCGTTGCGACCTGCAATACACTTGCATGAAAGCTTTGCGTTGATGTCCTCGCACTCCCTGCCCACTTCTTGAATCCGAGCCCGCAATTTCTGGATCTGTTCATCAATCCTGGACCTCTCTCGGCGCCATTCCTTCCTGGCACCTCGGAGCTCGGTGATCTTGTCCGCGATCTCATCTTCAGTAAGCGGCTCACCTCGATCGTGACTGGTGTTTGAGGAAGCGGAGTTCGATGGTGCGTTACTGGCGCACTCATCGCTGCTATTTGTAAGGTCATCGTCCGAATCCGGCTCGGCATACTTGGGCTTTTTCCTCGCCGGACTGCTTGCATCTGAAAGCCTGCGCTTGTGGCGTTTCCCGTGAGGTCTGAAGACAATTTTACCCCCAATCAACTTTTCTTGCAGCTTTTCCCAAGTGTCCATCTCATCTTCGGCGGAATCCATAGCCGCATCTACGTCGGACCTAGAGTCTTGGAGCTGTTTGATCTGTATCTTCATGGCATCCTTCTTCTTTTCCAGGTCTCCTAGTTCTGCCCACATGGGCGCGAGCTCTTCCTCGAGGCCTAGAGAATCCTGAGCCTCAGTGATCGAGATGTCGTCTGTCTTGCTGCAGATGAAAGTCACCGAACTCAAGCCACCGTCCATCTTCAATTGGCGTTTGAAAGAGTCGCCAAGCAGGGTCTTTGCTGATTTGTCGTCAACTGCTCTTGTGATGGGTGCAACAATTAACAGTCCGGTGCATTGTTTCATGTAGTCCTGGTTCGCCGTTAGCATCGGAAACTTGTTGAAGGAGAGGACTTTGAGGTGAAACTTCATCAACACCGACATAACCCATGAAAGGGACTTACCTTAGCGACCGCTGCGCGAGCCTGATTGCTGTCGTGGACACCCGGAAGATCGACTATCACTGCACCAGTTGCTAGAGCAGGAGCCTTCACATAGAGTTTGACAACCCGGATTAGAGGCCAATACTCCTGCTCACGCGGCTTTTTCTCCTTCTCAACCCGTTCTTTCACCCCAGTGGTCTTCTCCTTGCTGTCTACAAAGCGTTGCAGCTGCTTATAGAACGACATGGCATCCTCTGATTCAATACTGCGCTTGGTGCCTAGACAGGCGACGTTCGGGTGCTCCATCAGCTTATCGATAGGGACTTCGGTCATTTCTTCTCTTGTTAGCCGCGGATAGACCGCTTTGACCTGGGCATAGGCAACACCAGATTCAGAGTCTTCGTTCGTACACTCGCGGGAAACTTGACCCGACTGGTCGAGGAGATCTTGGAAGAGAACATTGAGCATCTTTCGCCAGTCCTGCTTGGAAATGAACTCGACCTCAGCTTTGAACGGGGCACCCTCTTGGTAGTTGTAACTGATTTCTGTTACAACAGCGGTGCAAGCTCTCATGCAATTAGTCGGAACTAGCCGCTCTTCATCGAGCATCGCATTGATGACAGAGCTTTTTCCTGCGCCCGTCGCGCCAACAACACCAATGACAGTTCTCGAACGACCGGCTTGAGATTGGATCTTATCAATTGACTCAGCCCACCGAGTCACTTCTTGACTTGCCACTTCTCCCAGAGTACGTTGGATCTTTTCTAGCAGCTCCATCCCCTTTTCAACACCCTTCTCGAGCTGCTCAGGAGTGCGGCCGTCGAAGAGATCGGACATGTTTAGGCGCAAAGGTGCAATGTCTTGTGCACTGGGCTCCCCTCGAATGCCGGGGTGCGAGTCTAATTCGTGAGCTGGGCCACCGCGCTGGAAGGTCTTTTCCTCAGCCCGTGCGGACAGTGCATGCTCCTGCTTCACCCATGTGGTATCGGGTTCTCTAGGCTTGCTCGAGAGTCCTTCTCGTCCTAGTTGTTCCGCTCCCGCGCGGGAGACATGAGCAGACATGGCGTGCGGGTTGAAGCCACTGAGCTGACCCCATCTTGGTAGAGGCTGAGTAGAGGAGGACTGCCCGTCTGTTGTCGGGGGTTCGTTTCCCTTCTTGGGCGAGAAAGCGTGGTTTCCGCTTAATCGTTGGTTGGCGCGGTTGTTGATCTCGCACAGCGCAGGACGCGCCAGGTCATCCATGGTCTTTCTCTTATTGAGGTCTTCTGCACCTACAGATTCAATGGAAGTGAGCTCACTGGGGCAGTGAATGACAAGTGAGGCGACTATGATGCTTTTCCTAGGTTCTGAGTCGTGTTTGAAATGAGTTATCCCAACCTCAGGACAGGGGTCTGCAACCTCGATGAGTGGGAGGACTGCTTTTACTTAGACCGTTGATGCCATAAAGCGTCAGGTCGTTCGTGCTCAAAGGCAGGAGATGATGATTGTAGAGGATTCAGACAACTGCCCGCTTAGGCCACACCTAGGGTTCTGGGGGAGCAGGACAGAACCTAAGTTGGACTTGTTAGCGCGAGGGGAGAAGAATGTGTGCTCAAGTTCTTACAAAGGGCATCTAGATGAGCAACATGCCTGGGAGGCTCCAAGCAGTCCCTCACTGGTTGGCGGCAGTGAGGAGCTAGAGTGATGAGTGGGGGAAGATGTTAGGGATTCGATTGAACTGTGCACGCGTCAGGAAGACGCGTCGTTTTGAGTCGCCGTGAGATGGACCAAACAAGAGCGTCGCTTAGCGCGTTGGCAGCCTCAATGTTCGCGCCACAAGTCTTGATCCGCCGTACAAAGATAGTGCCAAGAATGCCAAGAGTGCAACAGGGACATCACGATGGATCATTATTCTGGGCACTCCTTTCTACTTGTTCCACTCGATGTCAATGCCAAGTGGGTGATATTTGCACCACTGAGTACGTAATTCCAGCGAACAATACTCCGTCCTACCACAGATAGAGGATGCTCTTCCCGATCCGGCCCAAAAAGATGCCCTTTGATATCGGCCCGCCTCCTCTCCGGGGTCTGCGAGCCGTCGGGGCCTCGAGCCATCTACGTTGAGCACGGTTGATCTTCGGAAAGGTGAGATCATTCGTTCCTGTTCGTCCAGGTGATTTTTTTTACCGCATCTTCTTGAATCCTAAGGGCCGAGTATATTTAAATAGGTTCTCTGTAGCTCGTGCGACTCCTCATTTTGTTGATGATAGTCATATAAGAGACTTGGCAAGATGCAAATCAATAATTCCGCTTATGGAGGCTCTACAGTCGTCCTTGAAATGCCCTCAAGGTCCCATCAAGGGAAGGAGTCCAGCAAAGACCTGCCTGTCTATGAGGACATATCAGCCGGAGCCTTGCCTGCTCCTTCGACTGCTACACCTCAATTGCAAAAATGGAACTCCCCCAGAATCAACATGTGGCGTTGTCTAGGGACCTTCTACTCCTTCGTCGTCTTGGGTGCTAATGATGGTGCATACGGCGCCCTGATACCCTACCTCGAAACATTCTACGGGGTCAACTATACAGTCATCAGCCTCATATTTCTGTCGCCTATAGTGGGTTATACGATGTCTGCACTGTTGAACAACCACATTCATACTGTGTATGGACAAAGAGGTGTTGCGTGGATCATGAGCATGTCCCATTTGTGCGCTTATAGTGAGTATGTTTGGTATTGAAATGTGATATATGACTGACTCGTTGATATAGCCGCCATATGTGTTCATCCGCCTTATCCTGTTTTGGTAGTAGTGTTTATTCTCGCCGGTTTTGGCAACGGGTTGGGCGACAGTGGATGGTGGGTTGAAATTCGTTGACCTTCCGACATACATTCAATGCTGAATCTGCCCACAGGAATGCCTGGATTGGCGACATGGCTAACGCAAATGAGGTACTTGGCTTCCTGCACGGTTTTTACGGCCTTGGGGCAGCGCTTTCGCCGTTGATCGCTACAGCACTGGTCACTCAAGCAGGCTGGCGATGGTACGAATTCTATTATCTCATGGTGGGTGCAGCACTTGTTGAGGTTGCATTCCTCGTTGGCACTTTCTGGAGAGCAGACGGCCGGGCCTATAATGCTGAGCACCCTCAGACTGCTGATATGGATATTTCCGGGTCAAGCACTCCGACAATCTCTGATGTTACGGACCCTGGTAGCCAGGCCGACAAGCAACAAGGCATTTTCTCCAAACTGAATCCGTTCGGCAAAAGAGCGAAGGGCAAGAGCAAGACTCTTGAGGCGGTCAAGCAGAAGGTAACGTTGCTCGCCTCGGTATTCCTGCTTGTCTATGTGGGTGTTGAGGTCAGTGTCGGCGGGTGGATCGTGACTTTCATGTTGCGCGTCAGAAAAGGCTCGCCGTTTGCTTCAGGTCTGACATCGATGGGCTTTTGGCTTGGGATCACCGTCGGTCGATTCATACTCGGATTCGTTACGGCTCGGGTATTCAAGACAGAAAAGCATGCCATAGCCGTGTACTTGGTGTGCAGCGTGGCTCTGCAGCTGATGTTTTGGCTCATCCCAAACTTCGTCGTCAGCGCAGTCATGATCGGCTTCCTGGGCTTTTTCCTAGGCCCTCTCTTCCCCGCAGCCATTGTGGCTCTCACAAAATTGCTCCCGAAGAGGCTGCATGTACCCGCTGTGGGGTTTGCCGCTGCTTTTGGAGCGAGTGGTGCATGCGTGCTGCCGTTTGCTGTTGGGGCGATTGCAAATGCAAAGGGTGTCAAGGTGCTGCAACCCATCATTCTGGCAGCCTTGGTGCTATGCCTGGTTGTGTGGTTGTTGGTTCCCAAGCTCCCTAAACAGAGGATGGCCTGATCATCGCGAGAGGATACAGTGCTGGTCAGGACACACTTATTACAGGCTCAACGGTATCAGCAACTGCCACATCGGCTGGCGGCACCAACGGTGATTTGGACGACATGGCGTGGCATATTTGAAGGGTTCGTCGCATGGTCCTTTTCATCGTGGGGATGGCTCAGGGGGGTCGTATAATTGAGCTATTTATAGTCCCTCACCCAAGGCTGTGTGCAGCTTCGTTCAAGGTTAGCTGCAGATCTCCCAGCGGCAGGGATCTGATGCAAGTCATCCGCTGGAAAAACGGGCATCTAGCGCAACAGAAATACGAGACGGCTGTTTCATGATTGAAGGTAGACGGAATACGCACGACACACACTTCCTGCTCGTGCTGTCAGAGGGAAAAAAGGGGTAAACAGGGAGCGAAGGTGCAGGGCCAAAAGTGAAACATGTGGAGACCAAAATGGAAGCGACAGTCGAGAGGCGCTAGTCCCAATGGAGAATTATGGAGCAAGGGTTGTTCACGCTCTCGACCAACTTTTCTCACGCATCACCTTCCACCTTCGGCCCAGAAGGGGTTTCAGCTCCTTTTTTCTAACGACATCCCTTTCATGCTACAAAGCCGTCTCCCGACCTTGATATCCGCTGTCTCCATTATGGCCGTCTTTGAGCAATCACTTAATCTCGTATCATAGACTAGACTGATTGGTTTTGTTGGATTATCCTGCCGCTAAAGCCTCCCCCTTGTCGCGTCTGGAACGCGTGTTTCGCCACCCAAGACACTGTTGTTTTATTTTTGGATATTGCCTGAAGCGACATCTGGCCTCATCGTCTATCCCTGGAATCGAACAATCCTCAGCAATTGACAACTTCAAACCCCCCCAATGCGCTCACCTGGAGGCATGTTTACCCCAAGGCATGCGCCGGTAAAGGAGGGTCGCTCTTTCCCCGGGCTACCATATGCAGGACCAACACGACGAAGTCTCAGATCACGGCAGGGACTTGTCATTATTATATTATTGCTTTGTATTCCTCTAATATACCTGCTCACTTCTGGGGGCCCAAGCACGACCATTCGGCCGCAGATTGTATCGCCCGCCGAAAGATTCAAAGGATTACCATCAGATCCTGAGCCTATATTCCGAGCAACCCAAAATGAGGCTCCCAGCCAAGAACAACTTTCGGGCAATGCGATCGTGCAGGAGCCCGCGCAACCCAAATCAAACCCAGAGATGCGTTTTGAGGCTCCACCGGTTGAACCTCCCGTGCAAAAGCCAAAGGCCCCTCTACCACCTGAACCCGAAGGCGAAGAGCCGATTCTATCCAAACAAGACGATGTGGCTGCACAACCGAAGGGATATTCCGCCAAAGGGTCCGGCGTATCAGGATCGCCGAAGCCACAGTCTAACCCAAGTTCATTTTCCGAGCGCCCCAAGTTTGAGAAGGCTCTCGCACGAGTAATCAGTCTTCTTCCAGGTGAAATGGAAGGCAGAGACTTGCTACGCGCTGTTGAAGGAACCGGAAAGGAGAAACTTCGTGAAATGGGTCTGCGCGTCCGCGAGTACAAAAAGTTTTTCCAGGCCTGGGAAGACCTTCACCTCACCTTTGACGAAGAAGGCGGCAGCTACGTGCGCGATGATGTTATCCAGTACCTGCGACACCATCAGCATCAGCCTTCTGACGACGGCATTGGCGAATCGTCTTTGGCTCAAACGATCCATTCCTACGAGGCGTACCGATACTTCCTTGTCAAATTCGGACAACTGCTCTTCCCATGGACGGCGCCGTACTTCCCTGACCACATGACTCTCCATTCACATTTCAAAAAAGGAGGCAGAGGCATCGTTCTCACAGCAGGTGATGACCAGGCGCCGTATCTGCTCACGATTATCCCCACGTTCCGAAAACTCGGGTGTACACTGCCGATTGAGATCATGTATTTGGGTGACTCGGACCTCTCCGAGGACTATCGTTCTGATTTGGAAAGCCTGGACGGCGTAGTCACTCGAGACATCGCGCAAATGGTAAATGACGAGGGCTGGAAATTGGCGGGCTGGGCTGCCAAGCCATTTGCAATCCTGTATTCCAGTTTCCGCGAAGTCATCTTCATTGATGCGGACAGTCTGTTTTTTGTAAACCCGGAACTCTTGTTCGAGGATCCTGCATACCAGAAAACTGGCGCTCTTTTCTTCAGGGATCGTTTGATTATGCCAGAGTCGAAGAAGCGCTGGCTCCAACAGATTTTGCCAAAGCCCATTTCAAGACAAGTCAAGCAGAGCCGGTTCTGGACAGGGGATAGTGGTCACATGCAAGAATCGGGTGTTATAGTGGTTGACAAATGGCGTCATTTCATTGCCCTTCTTCTGGTCACGAGAATGAATGGCCCTGACCGAGATGGAAATAAAGAGGAAGGCCGGGTTGGGATATATGACATGGTCTATGGTAAGTCGAGTTTTATATAGGCTGCTTGACTTTTTTCTGACAATCGTTGCAGGTGATAAAGAGACTTTCTGGCTCGGCTGGGAGCTTGTGGGAGATCAAGAGTACGCTTTTCATCAGGGCGATGCTGGCACAATGGGTGTCGTTCAAGCGCCCAAGGAGGAAGAGAAGAAGCCCAGACTGGTGAGAAAGAAGAGACCGGTCATGGACGAAAACGGCCAGCCCAGACTGGACGAGAACGGGCAAGAGATGATGGAAGAATACGACATACTTGAAGAAGCCGAAGAGCAAGAACCCGGGGAAAGACCCGAGCCGTTAAACTACACCATCTGCTCTCCACAGCTTCTCCATTTAGATTTGCAGGGCAAACCTCTTTGGTTTAATGGATGGCTTGTGGACAACAAGTTCGCCGACAAGAAACAGAAAAAGTTCGGCAAATTTGAACATTATCTAATTGAGCCTAGGGATATCAGGGAGCCTGGTGCTTGGCAGTTGGAAGAAAGCAACATGTGCTGTCTGACCACTGACGCAGAACTGAAGCGCGATTTTTCACCGGACGAGAAGGAAATATTGAACATGATGATTAATCAAGCTAAGGAGGTCGGTGTCGCAGGGTGATTTGGAAGCCCAGTCTGTTGGATAGAAACATTTGGAAGGAGTCCCGAAGCATGAATGAAGGCGTCATGATTTTTCGGCTGCGGTTGGAATTTGGATCACAAACATCGATTTGATTTAGCAGGCATTAATACCTCCACAATCCGGGTGTCAGCTATCAGCATTCTGTGTTCGACCTGCGAGACAAGAGGACAAGTTGGGGCCCAAACACCATCAACATCGACATTTTCAAAAGCTGCGTTTTCTCTATTTCGGATCCAGCGTCATATCCTTGCTTGCGACGCTGAGTTGAGAATCGACTAAGCCAGGCCGGATGGACAGAAAAACCCAGGCAGCAGGAGAGGGAACCGAGGGTTACCGTGGGAGATTCTGCTATGTAGAACATACGACATCTTGCATCTCGCACCTGGCACGGCAGACTTTGGAATGCGAGAAGAATGAGAAGAAGCAATAGTTCAGCAGGCTATAGTGCACGCTGTCTCCGGAATCTCGTATCAAGAAATCAGATTCAAAACTCATGACTTTGAGAGGTGTAGATTTTGGTCGAAATATCCAGTTGCATGTATCACACCCATAGTTGACTAAACGTCGAGGACTGTACAAGGCTGTATTACGAGTTGGAGAGCCTCGTCGATGTCATGTGGAAAAAAGTAGGGATTGCCATGTACCCAATCAGGGACCGCGCCTTGTGCTCGCCGCAAGGCTGACGGCGTATTGTTGAAACCTTTTTCGCCAGGACCCTTGCCAGTCAAACCGGCTTGTTCTATTATTTCGATTTTTAGACATCGAAGAATCTACCTCTCGCTCCACGCCTTTTGGGGGGAGCACCTCTTTTTAACGAAGCTGGCGCCATCGATATGAAGTTGTGCGGAGAAAGGGAGCGTTATCGTTGCCACCCGAGTTTGCGACATACCTAGACCCACGTCCTTCTTGCGCATTTGAGCCGCTAAAGCGCAATTCCGAAGGAGCCCACAGATCGGAGAGTCAGATCATGCACCGATCCAGCAGTTAGAGACACGAGAAGAAATTATCTTTACAACGATATGGCGACGGAAACGACCAGGCCACAGCGCCAAGGACGCCACCGTCACTCGCGAGACGAGGCTCTCCCGAAGCCGAAGAAGGAGAAACCCCCGAATAACCCTCTAGTCAGGAGCGTTTCCGAGTTTTGCAGGGAACTCCAAGAACGCCACTCTGCAAATGAGGAGACCACTCTCATGTCTCCGGCGACCTCAGACATGCCAAAGCGGTACTCGCTCTACCCTCCGCTCCTCCTCCTTCCGGCGAATTTCACCACGCAGAATCCGCAATGGACGGCGTTCTATCACGCGCTTGGTGAGAGCGACAAGAGGGAGCTGTTCAGAGTTATTGCTGAGAAGGGGTTTAAGGGGATGGCGGTTTCGCGGATCGCGATCAACGCGCCGATTGCGGCTGAGATTGAGGAGCAAGGAGGAGACGACGGCCTTGTCGGTGGTGATGGGTGTGGTGGTGGTGGTGCCGGAGACGTCAACAGGGTCGAAGAGGACTCCATGGAGCAGAATGATGCGTCGACGACTAAGGAACAAAACGTCCTCCGCTGTCCTTCAGGTCTGCTCCCGGTGTACGGCGACTGGGGCCCCATGCCCGACCATGACCACAGACAGCAAAGGCATAGAGGCAGGATCCTCCATCCCACCGTCCAGGACTTCGACGAGGCTTTCTGGACATCCACGTGTCAGCTCCAAGGAATTGCGCAGTGCTGGGCTCCATTGTACACGATGTTCAGTCGCGGAAACATCTCCGAGAAGGCAAGGATACTCGGATTACAGTCCCACTTCCCTGGGCTTGCTGAGTCTGAATTAAATCAGCCTGTTGGCGATGTCGACGTGGTCGATTTCTACATCGGCATCGGATACTTCGCATTCTGTTATCTTTCTAGAGGAGTGCGACGAGTTTACGGCTGGGATATCAATCCGTGGAGTATTGAAGGGTTGAGGAGGGGATGTGAGAGAAACGGATGGAGGTGCTTGGTAGTCAGAGTCGGTGAAGCAGGGAGTTTGCAAGGGTCGGGAAGCGTCAGGGATTTGGTCGAGGGGCTTGCAAGGGACGATCATGCAGACGACCGGGAGGCGGCGGTCAGGTGCGTTGCCTTCCTGGGAGACAACAAGTGGGCAGGGAAGGTTCTGAAGGAGATGCAACATGAATGTGCAAGGATTGACAACAACGAGGGAAGAATAGGGTCGCGATTCAATGTCAGACATGCGAATCTTGGCCTCCTTCCTTCTTCCAGAGCTAGTTGGCAGGATGCTGTCCAGGCGATAACAGGCTTGAGCGAAGGTGGAACTGGTGGATGGTTGCATGTTCACGAGAATGTCGATGTCCGGGAGATCAATGCGAGGGAACTGGATATTGTGAGGGAAATCGATGGATTGGTAAAGCGAGAACCCAGGTGTCCTCGCGCAGTCACTTGCCCACATGTTGAGCAGGTGAAGACATATGCGCCTGGCGTAATGCACTGTGTATTTGATGTCGAGATCAAACCCAATGGCTGATGTCCCTTCCCCCCTCCACCTCGTCTCTATTTGTATTCTTACAGACCCTTCCATGTCCGTGACCTGCCAGGAACGCCCCGGAAAACATCATGACAGCCTCCTAAATTTCATCGGGATGTTCCTCTCCACAATACTCTGTTTTTGCTCTCTCAGTATACGGTCAGCCTCATCTTCCCTCATGTCGTGTTTCCTGAAGTGCTCTATATCTTCTGGATGGATCAGATCCTCCTCTTTCGTGTTTTCATCATGGTATTTCTCGAAGTGGTGGATCTCGTACTCGTACTCGTCGTCGCCGTGGTGACCTGGTCCTAACCCAGAGTCTGGGAGCTTCTTGCCGGCGCGTATGCCTTCAAGCCATTGATCACGGGTGATGATGCCGGTGCTATGAGGATCAAACAATTTGAAGACCTCAAGGACGGCCTTGTCTTTAACATTGGCGGGAGTGGACTTCAGAGATTCGTCATCCAGTCCATATGTTCGGCGGACTTCGTCAGGTGTCCAAGAGCCGTCGTTGTTGAAGTCATGCAGCGAGAAGAATGAGGCCGGGTCGAAGTTGGAGATATCTGGGTGTGTCAGTGAGATGGTTTCAATTGGCCCAGGACTTGTATCACGTACGGTGTTCTTCTTGCATGTGGTACAACGCCCAGTCGTCGGCTGGATTGGCCAATTCCTCCTGCGAGTGTGAGCCATGAGCGCTGGTCAACCCAACGAGAGCAATGAAGGCTGCTATGATGGTCCTCATTGCGGCTGAGAACTTCTTCTGTATCGCGTGGGTTGTTGCATCAACCGTGAACGTGGTTGAAGGAGAGATTCTCCCTGGGTCAGGGTTGCAGGGTCATTGTTGCTACAAGGACTGACATAATGTTGGCGCAGGAGAGAGTAACTAGGGGACTCCGACGAGTCTCATTGTTGACGCGATTAGCCGCCCTTGTGCCCTGGCTTGGCTCGTTCCTGGCGATCGCGGCCACCAACGGGCTAACAAGGGCTTAGTTTCTGGGATAGGCGCTCTTCTTTACTCCCTTGCACATTGCGCCAGATGATGAGGGAGGGTGACTGCTGGAAGAGTGAAAGATCCGATGCATTGAGGTAGGAAGGCACCAGTTAGACAAACCTGATTCCCGTTGTCACCATGTAGTGAATTGTTTGCTTGCCTGCGCGCTACCCGCCATCCCCAACTCACTGTCACTTTGCTTCACTTCACTGCCAGCGCAAGAATTTTGCATCCTCTTAAATATCCACGGTGAGATCGGTTCAAAAGACGTCTCCTCTTTCATTGTATCACTCACGAGCCTTCTCTCCCCATCGCCAGGATGGTGGAAGCCGACGGGCACGCCGCCGTAGAGGCAGGGCCTTCTATAAGTGATCTCGATCAGTCTCCGCCAGACTACCTCACAGACTCTAGCAACGAATCTGACTCTCAGAACACCAGTTTAGACGGTCAGACAGACCAAGAGACCAACAGGGCGACTCTCAATCAATATATCATTACTCACGCTGATGGCGACGACGAGATCCACACATCCAACCTTCCCGAGGAAGAACAGTCAAAGAGCATTATCGATCAAGCCCGTGACTACCAGCAGGAACTCTTCGAGAAGGCCAAAGAAGAGAACGTGATCGCTGTGCTGGACACTGGGAGTGGTAAAACCCTTATTGCAGCGCTCCTGATCAGACATTACCTGCAACAGGAACTCATTGATCGAAGCCATGGCAAACCACCAAAGATTGTCTTCTTCCTTGTCAACAGCGTCCACCTCGCTCGACAACAGGCCCGCTTCCTCTCCAACAATCTGCCACAGAAGGTCATTCCCCTTTTCGCCGACGCCTCGGACGATCTGTGGAAGAAGGCAGAATGGGACAGGATTTTTGCGGAAAACAGCGTCGTGGTGTGCACAGCTGCGGTGCTGGACTCGTGCCTCATGCACTCATACCTGAAAATAGATCAGATCTCACTTCTTGTGTTTGACGAAGCCCACCACTGTAAGAAGAACCATCCATATTCGAGAATCATTCGAGATCACTACATCAGGTGGAAAGGTGACAGACCTCGTATTTTCGGCATGACAGCGTCCCCTACCGACTCAAAGCGAGATATCGACAAAGTTGCAGAGGACTTGGAAGCGTTACTGCAGAGTAAGATCGTGACCACCAACGACATGTCCGTCTTCGACTTCGCACCTCGGGCAGAGGACGTCAGATGGTACTATCCTCCACTGAATGCCGGATTCGAAACTGGTCTATGTTCACAACTCTTGCCATTATGTGGCTTCCTCGAAGATCTAGCGCCGTACTTCCGTTTCGCTCGCATGGCTTCTGGACAACTTGGCGCTTGGGCAGCAGACAAAATCTGGCAGTACGCCTTCCCAGCGTCAGAGAGCGAATCAGCCGTCATCCTTCGAAAATTTGAACGAAGCCCAGTTTACACCGAGATGACAGAGAACGAGAGACGAATGGCAGCCTTAAATTCTATCCGTAAGGCCATTTCAGTCGTCCAAAAACATTCCTTCGGACCTCTACAGATTGACTCGGACCAGAATGTGTCTTCTAAAGTAAGAAAGCTATATGTCGAGCTCAAAGAGCGTTTTTCGATTGCCGCCACGACTCGGTCGATCGTATTTGTCGAGGAAAGATTGACGGCGCTCATTCTCTGCGACATGTTCAAGTCACTCAGTCTCCCGAATCTACGGCCGGGCGTCCTCATGGGTACTGCCGTAGCTTCGAGCCTGAAAGGTTCGTGGAAAGATCAAGAGGCAGTCATGGAGAAGTTCCGCACCGGTATCATCAACATCATATTTGCTACCAGTGTTGCCGAAGAGGGCATTGATATTCCCCAATGCAATATGGTGATCAGATTCGATCTGTATAAAAATCCCATTCAGTACATGCAAAGTCGTGGCCGGGCTCGGATGAAAGGCTCGATTTTTGTCCACATGATCGAAGAGAACAATCAGGCCCAGGAAGCAGACGTCAATTTTGCCATTGCCCAAGATGACTATATACGACGGTGGTGTCAACAGCGTCCTCCTGATCGACTATTGGGCCGGGGCTCGAAATTGAAACAGCTCATGGCTAAGGACGCGAGTTGTCGAAGTTTTCAAACTTCTTCTGGCGTCCTGGCGAACTACTCCAATTCGCTTTTGCTATTGAGTCGGTATGCAGAGTCCTTGAAGAAGATTGGTGGCGCCTCGTCAGAAGTTTACGAGGAGATGATAGGTGTCGAAGACAACATGTTTCAGTACAAGGTCATACTTCCTGTCACCAGCGACCAGCGGACTGCTGCAGTCAAGGGCGCCAAAGGCGAGCCGCGCACAAATAAGGTGCTCGCGAAGCGGTCCGCTGCATGGCATTGCCTTTTCAAATTACGCAAAGCACAACTGTTGGACGAGAATCTCAACAGCATCTTCTTTAAAGCCAAACCAGCTAATTTAAACGCCAAAACCGCCGTTCCCGACCATAAGGACAGCTACGACAAGAAGGTGAAACCGGATTTCTGGCTTGAGAGTGGTGCAACATTGCCAACGCTGCCAGTGAAACTCTTTGTCACGCGTGTCTCTGTTGGGCCAAAATCACCTTCCTGGTGCACTGATGGCTTGCTCCTGCTGACGCGCGCACCTCTTCCAGATATCCCCACATTTTCCGTCTATGTAGACGACAATGTTGAGAAAAAGGTCACATTTAAGCGATTCATTCACCCAGTGGCAGTAACGGCGGATCAGATTGAGTCTCTGACGACATTTACTCTTCGAGGGGTGTTCTACGATTTCTTCAATAAAGTCTTTGCTCACAACTCGACATCTATGAGCTACTGGCTAGCACCTCCAGCCAGGGGAGATCTGAAAGAGACCTTTGAATCCATTGTCAATATGGACGAGCTTTTGACCGCGCAACTCACTGAACGCCATAGATGGAAGCCATTTGCAAGCGCGACAGAGGCACAAGAAAACACAGGGAAATGGTGCAACGCATTTCTCGTCGATCCAGGAAGCGGAAAATGGCGTTATTTCACAGGTGACGTCTTGCCGGGAAAATCTATCTGGGACCCTATTCCAGAGAGCGCAAAGGCTATTCAGAAGAGATTGAAGAACACAATTATTGAATTTTCCGACAGCACGTGGGGAGCGAACAGGAAAAATGCCGAATCTGTTGCTAAGATGTACGATCCAAATCAACCTGTATTGGTCGCTAAGGTTGTCACAGCCGGTCGAAATTTCTTAGAAGAATGCCCCAAAGATCGAAAACGGTATGCCATGTGTCACATTGCCCCTCAGCCGCTGGAACTTGGTCGAATATCGTACTCGGTGGCCCAAACTTGTCTCCTGTGGCCTTCTATCCTGCATCGCTTGGAAAGCTACCTGATCGTCGGGGAAGCACTCAAGAAGCTTGATCTGATCGAGGTGCCTTTAGACCTTGGGTTAGAAGCTTATACGCAAGAGGGCCATACCAGGGCGGGCGGCGCCGAAACCGAGTCGCGAACTCTGGATTGGCACGATGTTCAACTGCAACTCGGCAAGAAGGAGCCAGAGACAGCTATGAATTATGAGCGATTGGAATTCATTGGAGACGTTCTCCTCAAGATGATGACCACTATCACAGTTTACAACCGCACAACGTGCGACGAAGAAGGCATGCATTGCAAGCGTATGGACCTGCTCTCCAACAGCCGGTTGTGTACCACTGCATCTGCTCCCCACTACGAGCTTTTTCGCTACATCCGCTCTGCCAATGATCATTGGCGTGACACATGGTACCCAGAGTTCTTGGAGCTGGAGAGAGGTCGAGTCATCAAACTGACAGACAAACACCGCAAACATGCGCTAGGAAAGAAGACCATAGCGGACGTCTGTGAGGCAACCATCGGAGCATGTATCATGAGCAGTCGTCACTTGCCCACGGAGGAGAAGCTCGATCTCGGGATCAAGGCGATCACTAAATTTGTGGAACATCCTGATCACGCCATCAATTCCTGGAAAGAGATTCTTCCAATGTACAAACCGGCGCCT